CCCCCCCCAGGAAGGGCCCCCCGCCCAGCTCCTGGGTCGGTGAGGGGCGAAGGCAGACGGGGCTGGTTCTGGCGGCTCCTGCTGGCTGCTGTCCTTTCCCCATCAGCGTGACCTCTGGGTGTCAAGTGACCGAATCACACCTGCCTCACACGGGTAGGGGCACCTGTGAGGCCTCCCTTGCCCCACCCCCTGCAGGTGAGGTCCTGGGCCTCTGGGAGCAGGGGAGCACCTGGTGGCTTTGGCATGAGCAGAGCTGGACGGGGGGGGGGCCCCCCCACCCCCGCCTCTTGTTTCTGGTTGGTTCCACACGCCGACCTTGTGTTTTTCTCTTTGTTTCCTGGTTTTGCATCATTGAAAAAGGACGGAGGAGGGAGGCGGGGGGGGGGCAGGAGGGACAGCAGGTACCCGACTGGCTCAGAGGCACAGGCTGAGCACCAGCCCGCCTGGGAACCCGCAGCAGGCGTCTGTCCTGGGGGGACTCGGGGGGACAGGAGACCCCGCCTGTGCCCCCACCTCTGCACCCCAGGGAGGGCCCAGCCACTCAGCCCCTGCTCTGTGCTCCGTGCGGTATCTCCTGGGGTCCCCAGTGCCGGCCTGCACCCAGCCGTCCCCCCCCCCTGCTGCGGGCCGTCCCACCGGTTGGCCTGCCCCTCTGGCCGAGGCCCCGTCAGGCCAGTGCAGGGAGGAGGGAGGGGCCCGGCCACTTCCCTCAGCAGCGGGTCCAGGTGCTCCGGGCCCTGGCTCTCCGGGTCGGCAGTGAAAGCCCCCTGACGCCGCCCCGCCAGCCCCTCCAGGGACCTCAGGCTGCGCTGCAGAAGCTCTGGGACAGGTCCCTCCCCCCGCCCCCCCCGCCCCCGCTGGTCTGCCGTGGCCAGCAGCTCCTCCCAGGAGGCCCAGAACCCCCGGGTCTGGGTGACACGTGCCCGAAGGCCCGGTCCCGGCCTGAACACCCCCGGCTGCTGGCGGGGCTCTGGGGCGGAGTGAGGTGGCGTGGGCCCCTGGCTGCACCCGGGCAGCTTTCTGGCCGCTGTGCTGGCCCGTCTGCGCTGGGCCCTCGCCGCCGGGTGTCAAGAGCGGACGACTCGAGGTCGGCCATCCCGGGGGGTGGACGTGTCCCTCGTGCTGGGAGGGAGGGTGCGGGGCTCGCCCTGGCTTCGCAAACGCACATGCCCCGTCCGGCCTCCTTCTCCGGCTGTGGACGGCGCCGCCTCGGCCGGCCGCGCATTCAGGATGGACGGCGGGGAGGCGGTCACTCTGGGCCCGTCCCCGCTGGGCCCCCCACCCCCACAATGATGGAGTGAGTTCCTAACTGGTGTGCGCTTAGCGCTGAGGCCGGGCCAGACGCCCAGCCAGCCCTGCCCGCGGGTGTCCCCCGTCCCAGACGAGGGGGCGGAGTCACGGGGAGGCCGGGTGAGCTCCCGGTGGGACAGTTTGGAGGGTGGCGGCGGCGGCTTCGAGCCCAGGCCTCGGGATTCCGCAGCGGGCGCACGTGACACCCGCCCGCCCGCCCCTGCGTCTGCCGGAGGGAGGGAGGGAGGCATTCCAGCCGGCCTGTCCCCGAGGCCGCGGCCGGCCCGCACTGGAGCCCGGCGGCAGTGGCGGCGCTTCCTCTTCAGTCCGGCTCCGGTTGAGCAACTCGCTTTCGTTTTTTTCGCCGCGTCCCGGCGGCCGGCACTCTGACAGCGGCGCCCGGCCCGGCGGCTCCGGGAAGCTGGCGCCCCCCTCGCGCGCCCGGGCCCGGCCCAGACCCCGCGGATGGCAGCTGCCAAAGGGCCTTCTGTGCTTCGCACCCACACGCCAGAGAGCCCAGGGGCAGGCGGGCGGCAGGGCTCGGGGACCCGGTGCTGCCCTTCCCCAGGTGAGCAGGGGCGCGGGGTGGCCCTGCAGAGGCCGTCCCGGGGAGGCAGGGCGTCTGGGAGGCCGCGGCCAGAACTCGCGGGCTGTGGCCGAGCCCCGGCAGGCACGGCCGCTGAGCCCCACCCATCAGTGAGCAGCACCCCCATTGCGGGCAGGCGGGAGCCGGCCGGGGTGACATCCCCGGGGGTGCCTGACGCTGAAGCTCCCGTCCCTGGACGGCCCTCACCCACGGGTCCCACACCTCACAGCCTGGCCTCTCGTCCTCCTGGGAGAGGGCAGGTCCGTGGGGGCCGCTCAGGTGTCTTCTGTCACCTGAGGAGGAGCGCCAACTAGGGACTCGTCACGGAAATGTCTGACCTGGGCATCGGCGGTCGGCAGCCCCTCCTCCGTCCTGCAGGCCCGAGGTCCGTGCGGACACGGCTGCAGCGGCTGAGGGCCGACGGGGCCGAGCAGGGGTGTCCTCTGGGGACGCAGCGCGGGAACGGGAGGCCGCCCGCCCATCCAGTGCTCTCCTTCCTGTGCGCGAGGGACACCGAGGTTCAGTCCCGGCAGGGCGCGCACTGGCTTTGGGGGTCCGGTTCCAGGGTGTGTGTGGGAGGCAGCCGGCCGATGGTGCGCGCGCTCTCTCTCTCTCTCCCCCCCGCCCCCTTGCTCTCTCTCTCTCTGAACCTCAGTGAACACATCCTCGGGTGAGGGGCGTGATACAAGCAGAGGCCAGAGCCGCGGGGCACGCAGGTGGGCCGGGCACCAGGGTCCCAGTGCCGGGAGGTGCTGTCTGAGCCCAGAGGTGGGGCGTTGGGAGGTGTAGGCCAGGTGAGGCCCCCACACAGGTGGGTGGGAGCCCGCGGGACTGCCCGGCGCGTGCAGAGGCCGTGGACGCGGGGCCTACAGCAGTGGACGCGGGGACACGGCTGCAGCGTGCGCCCTGGACTCCCTCCCGTCTGCCTGCAGGCTGCACCCCCAGGCGAGGCGTGTGGTTGCACGTGTGTGCGTGTGTGTGCACGTCTGCAGGATGAGGTGGCCGCCCTGCCCTTGGCGCATGACACCGCGTGACCCCCCCCCCCCGCCGTCAGGCACTTCCTCCGGCGGCCACCATCCCTGGCGCCCAGCTCTCGGTCCCCGGAGGCCCCGTGAGAGGAGGTCCTGGAGGCCTTTGCCCCCTGCGGGCCCTGCTGTGACCCCCGGTGACCCTGCCGAGGCGCCACCTGCTGGCCTCTGCGGGGGTGACGGCCGCAGGGTCCCCCGCCCTGGTGACGCAGGGGCTGGGGTCCCTGCTGAGGGGCGCCGGGTGACCGGCGTGGGCCGGCAGACCGAGGAGCCTCCAGGCCGTCTGTGCAAAGGGAGCCCGTTTCCCCGTGCGGCCGGCCTCCCGCCCGCGGCCGACGCCCCGCAAACTGCTCCCGGCTCCTGCCCGCTCCCAGGAGTGGAGTGGGGTGGCATGCACACCTCAGACCACCGTCCTCCACTGGCCGGTGGCCGCAGGCGGGCTCACGTCCATGGCCGCAGAGCCGCTGTTGTGTCCGCTCCCGACTCGGCGCCGACCCCTGGTCGAGGCAGCAGCGAGTGCCGGGCACTCGGGCGCATCCTGGGCACCTGGGCATCGGGGCAGCTGGCCGACTGCTCCGACCTGGGGACAGGTGGACCCCGGGCCAGTGCGCCTTCCCAGCGCGGGTCCCACGGGCGTCATCCTTTCAGGAGGGCGCCCCCCCCCCAGCCGCCCGGCGAGCAGTTAGCCGTGTGTGTTCTGGACACGGCAGGCGCTGGGTGAGCTCCGGGTTCGAGGCCGCTGCCGCTGGGCACGGAGGTCCCCAAGCACGGTCCCAGCTGATTGGGGTCAGCCGGCAGGACGCGGTCCCCAGGCAGGGACGGGAGGGTCTGTGGGGAGGGGCAGGCCAGCGGCGAGGGAGGCAGGGCAGTGGGTGGGGCCCGGGGACCCCACTCCGAGACCCCACACAGACAGGGACCCCAGCGGGCCTGGCAGGCTCTCGTTCCAAATGCCCAGGGTCCCCCCCCGGAGGCTCCCTCGCTGCCTGCCCCCTGGGACTGCAGCCGCAGTCAGTGACAGGGAGGCACCCCCCCCAGGACTGGGGCTGGGGGGCATCGCCTAGACGCCCCCCTGGGAGCCGGGACTCCCCGGGAGCCGACCCTGCAGGCCGGGCCCGTCCCCCCCACCCCCCCGCTGCGGGGGTCAGCCGTGCTCCCGGTGGACGGGGAGAACATGCACCCAGGGGAAACCTGCCACAGAACATTCCGGAGCAACAGCTGCCCGTGAGCCCTCGGCCTGTGCGGCCATCCCGGTGTGCATGCGTGTGCCAGGGAGGGCGTGTGCCAGGGAGGGCGTGTGCCAGGGAGGGCGTGTGCGCGTCTCGGCCCTCCCGGCGCACCCACATTTCGTCCCCGCGGGTGCCGGTCGGTCACCAGGGCTCCCGTGGGACACGCCCACCGACGGCCCCCGGGCGTCCAGCCCCGTCTGGGAAGGGGCTCTGTCCACACCACCCCGCAGCCCCCACTGCCTGGCTGTCCACGGAGCAGGACCCGGCGGGGGTGGGGCTGGGACTGCTCCCCGGAAGTCAGGAGAGACGGGACCCTCCGGCCAGAGGGGTGTCGGGGAGCTGTGGGTCGCCCCGCTGCTGCCGTGCGCACCAGTGCCCTGCATCCCCGTGAGCCCCGGTGCCCCGTGGGGACAGTTCCGATGCGCAGGCTGCTGGAGCCTCTCCTGGGACAGTGTGGTCGGTGTGGCCCCGGTGTGTCTCGCCCACGTGCACACTCGGCCACGTGCACACTCGCACGCCCACCCAGGGAAGGGTGGTGGGACTAGAAGCGTCCTCCTGTGGGACAGGTGTCGGTGAGGGCAGGGACGGAACGCTTCCAGTGTCCGAACTGGTTCTTTCCCGTCCATGCCGGTCGCCCACGCTGACCGAGCCGGTGCCTGGACTCTCGACGCCGCTCCCAGGGCCGAGCTGTCCGGCGGACAGACCGCACGTCCTGGCCGGCGGCGCCATGGGCCGGCGGCTGGCAGTGCCCTGGGCCGCCCGTCCAGGAGTGAACGGGGGAGCAGCCGCCAGCCGCCCCAGCGGGGGGCATGCGGGTGTGGGCCGCCGGGGCAGGAGACGCCAGTGTGACCTGTGCTTTGTCGTCCGCAGGCGCCGGGGGGTGCCTCGCCGTCCGCTGCTCCCTGCTGCGACAGGCCGTCCAGGTGAGTGTCCGCCGCTGCCCTCGCTCGGCCGGGGGGGCGGGGAGGCCGGGAGGCCGGGAGGCCGGGGGCCTGGGGCCGGTCTGCTCTGCAGTGGCCGTCACTCCTGCTGTGGTTTCTGAAGCGTATGTCCAGAGGCGGTGCACACGTGTTACCTTGGCGTGTCCGTGCGGCCTCCCAGCTTTGGGAACCCAGGTCCTCTGGATGGGATGGTCTTTATAAATGGTTGTGGGGGGGTGCTGGGCGGCCGTGGTTTTGAGGGCGCCCCCGGCGTGGCTCCGGCAGGGCAGCAGGCTCCCTCGGAGCCGGCGCGTGGACGGCCCCTCGGGGGCCGCGGCCGGAGGAGGGGGCACGGTATCCACCGTCCACCGGTGCTCAGAGACACTGGGCTCGGAACTGACAAGCGGCCCCGCCCTCCTGCACTGCGTCTGGTGCCTGAGGTCAGAGGGGCTGGAGCCCGGTGACGGTCTGCTTCCTGATCTGAGCAAACCAACTTCGAGGAGTGAGTTTACGGCGTTGGGTTACCGGCGGCACCGCCCCTCCCGGGTGAGATGCTGGTGTCCTGGCCACCTCTCCGGTGGGTCTTCATCTCCTGGAAACGAACACGGGAGTGTTTGTGGATGAAGTGGAAGACCACCTGGGATTTCTCCGAAGCTGTGGCGTGCCGGCCATAGCAGGGGTGGGGGGATGGGCCGAGTGTCAGTTCCTAGGTCAGAGAGGGTGGGTACCTGGCGGTTGTCGAGTTTTTCCGACACCAGGCGTGACGCAGGTGACAAGGGCAGTAAACAAGTCGGCAGCAGCCACGGCCCCCCGGAGCTGGTGGCAACGGTCGTGAGGGCCCCAAACCGCCCCCCAGTCCTCCCATTCCCCGTGTCCCGCACCCCGATGCCCCGCACCCCTTGAGGTGCGCGGTTCCACTGCCGGCTGTCTCTCGCCTGGGGGCGACCTCGCCGCCTGTCCCCTGGGCTCTTCCCCTTCCACCCTGGACGCCACCCGCGGGCCCGGCCCCGGCCCGTGGTCCCCCTGCACAGTCCCCGCTGGAGGTGCCTGGTGCCCTGCCCTGCCCGCTCCCCCACACCCCTCCTCACCCCTGTGCCCTCCTCCGGTGACACCCGTCCCAGCCCTTCCCACCGGGAATGAATTCCTTCCCGGCCTCCCTCCGCGGGGGCAGCTGGCCTCCTCCCTGCCCTGAGGCCCTCCCCTCTCCACACCTGCCTCCCGCAGGGGCGAGGCCTGTGCCCCGCCTGGCGCGCTGGTTCTCAGCCGCCTGGGGCCCCACAGGGAGGGACCCCACAGGGAGGGCCCACGTGTCCCGCACGGCAGGGACCTCCTGTCCGTCCGCTGCCAGGAGCCCGTGGTCCCAGCCACGAGGGTGAGGGACAGCGGGACAGGGCGTCCGCGAGGAGACCACCCTCCACAGGCAGACTCGACTCGGGGGGGCCCCAGCACCCGGGCTCGGGGTCCGCGTGGGCCCGGGGGCCGCGCCCCTCCACGCGGTCCTCTGCTGCCCGGCCCGAAGCCGACCGGCCCTGTCTCCCAGGCCGGCGGCGCTGAGCCCCGCCATGGAGGACGGCCCCGCGCTGGACCTCACCTACGTCACCGAGCGCATCATCGCCGTGTCCTTCCCCGCGGGCGGCTCCGAGGAGGCCTACCTGCACGGCCTGCAGGAGGTGACGCGCATGCTGCGGTCCAAGCACGGGGACAACTACCTGGTGAGCGGGCGGGGCGGAGCTCGGGGACGGCGTGGGGACACAGCTCGGGGACAGTGAGCGTGGGGACGGCGAGGGGACGGTGTGAGGACGGCGTGGGGACACAGCTCAGGGACAGTGAGCGTGGGGACGGCGAGGGGACGGTGTGGGGACGGTGTGGGGACACAGAGCGGGGACAGTGAGCGTGGGGACGGCGAGGGGACGGTGAGGGGACGGTGTGGGGACACAGCTCGGGGACAGTGAGCGTGGGGACGGCAAGGGGACGGTGTGGGGACAGTGTGGGGACACAGAGCGGGGACACCGCGCGTGGGTGCAGCCGGAAGTTTGCCGAGACCTGGATGTGCCCAGAGTCCTGGGGACTCGCGGGCTGCCGTGTGGGTGCAGCGCGTCCCCGAGGGTCCCAGGGACCAGATCCTGGAGCTCCGGGGCCTGGGCAGAGGCACGGTGACCTCTGTCTTGCTGCCCCACCCCCGGTGCTGTAGAGGGCCCTGGTCTTCCCCCGGCAGGGACGGCCGGCTCCCTCCGGAAGTGCCGGCGGAGGACCGGGTGGGCGTTCCACGGGCGGGCCACGGCACCGTGACCTGCATCTCCAGCAGGTCCTCAGCGCCTGCTCCCCGTGCTCCCTGGCGCCACCAGGTGGAGGGGCCCCGCGGCCCCGCGGGGTGGCTGCCGCGCGAAACCCCACCCCCACCCCCACCCCCGACCCGCCGCAGGCCTCCTTATCTGCGGGCGGGCGGCTAATCTTCGCCGACAAGGCCTCATTGTCATCCTTATCGGCGCCTCCGGTGACTAAGCCGGCTGCACGAGGCGACGCCCGCTGACTCACGGCAGCTGTCTGCGTGGCCTGAGGCGGCTCCCCGCCCCCGTTCCAGGAGGGACAGCGTGGGGACGCGCCCCCCCCATCACTGCAGCCGTTCTCTGGGTCTTGGGGGCGTCCCCCTTTCTCTGGGAGCTGGGGGACCACTGGGAGTCCCCTCCGCCTGAGGAGCTGGGGGCCCGAGCAGCAGGGCTGCCCTCTGGAGCCCCCCCTTTCCTCTGGATGGGGCCTCGCTGGGGTCGCAGACACAGGGCGGGGGTCCCTGCCGTTATGGGCACAAGGACCTTTTTTTAAAAAATCTCCAGTGACGTGTGTGTCCCGTGACGCCCTGAGCGGAGGGCCCGGGCCGGTCCTGTCTCCTGCGCACACCCACCCGCATGGCGTCCTCTGCCCACGGGCCGTGGGCCCGGGACACCTCGCCCAGCGGACGTTTTTGTCTTTGGGTCCGTGACAGCGGCACACAGTCCAGCCCTCTGTCGTCCACCTGGAGGGGGCAACTGCGCGTGGAAGGCCGTTTGCCCTCCGTCCCCAGGGCAGCGGCTTGTCTGACAGCTTCTCGCCCCCACCCCCCGCAGGTGCTGAACCTGTCGGAGAAGAGGTACGACCTCGCGAAGCTGAACCCCAAGGTAGGCCCATGGCCCTCCACGCCCCGGGTCTGGGGGTGTCACAGGGAAGCTGGTCCCGCAGGCGCTGACGTGCCCTGAGGAACTGTTCATGTCCCTGGTTCCTTTTTAAACCGGATCTTTTTTAGTTGAAAATCACTGGAGAGACATAGGAACCTGCGGAAATAGTGCAGAGAGATCCCCTGGGCCTCTGGGCCCGTCCCCCCCCACTCCAGTGTGACGCCCTGCGCAGTGAGAGTGAGGCGCCCAGGCCGGCGGCCGGTGGGAGTGCGGCCCCCGGGCGCTCTCACCCCCCTGGGCGCACACACACCCGTGGGGCGCTGCCCCCCGCCCGGGGCCCCCTCCTGACGCCGCTGACGGTGCCTGCGGCCCACGGCTGTCAGGACGGACAGGCAGCGGCCCGGCGAGCGGCCCGGTTGCTGGCGGACAAAGGCAGGACCGGGGTGCACGGCACCGGTGTCTCGGCTCTGACCGAGCCGGAGGCCTGGGGGGTCATCGCCACTGCGTGCTGTGCGGGTAGTGTGGCTTCTGCTTCCCGGCCATTCATTTTCTGGAACCTTCCATCATTTGACGCTATTTCCAGTGCTTTTGTAGTAAGACAGAGCTCTGTCTCCCTGCCCGCCCCCGCCCCGAACGAGAGGAAAGGGGAAATGAGTCAGGACCGGCTGGTGCTGGACACCCACCGGCCTTCCTCCTGTGGACGGGGCCGGGGTAGGGGCGCCCGTGTCCCCAGCGGGGGGCCCTGCGGGGTTATCTGTGTCTGGGTCCCGGGGAGAAAGGTCGCTGTGGCGTCCCAGACAGGGTCTGAGGGGGCAGACCCGGGCTTCGGGCCTCACCCGCCCCCCGAGTCCCAGCCCGGCGGCCCCTGGGAGCCCTTCCCGGAACCCGCAGCCAGCTCCGGGCGGCAGATAAGACTGGGGACGGAGGTCTCCGGGGACGGAGGTCTCCTGGGGCGACCGAGTCCTTCTGGTCCCTTCCTGGCCCACGCTGCCGGGTCTGCGCCCTCCAGCGACACGACACGTGTCAGGGAGGCAGCCCCCCTGGGCCCCGCCCCCCGGGCCCGGGGTGGGCACTGAGGAGGCCGTGTCCCCGCAGATCCTGGACGTGGGCTGGCCCGAGCTGCACGCGCCGCCGCTGGACAAGGTGTGCACCATCTGCAAGGCCCAGGAGTCCTGGCTGAACAGTGACCCGCAGCACGTGGTGGTCATCCACTGCAGGGTGAGCCCCGGCCCCGGGGCCCCGCGGGTGCTCCCCTGGTGGCCTCCACAGCCGCTCCCCCGGGGGTCTGCAGGCGGGGGTCTGCAGGCGCTGCCAGCCCCCCTCCCGAGCCCACTCTTTCTGTGCTCCCGCCCCCGAGCGAGCGCCGTCCCTACGCAGCCCCCTCTGCCAAGGGCGTTGAGGGGACCGGGCTGCTCTTCTGTCTCCGCAGGGCGGGAAGGGGCGCATCGGAGTCGTCCTCTCCTCCTACATGCACTTCACCAACGTCTCCGCCAGGTAGGGGCGGCGTCTGCGCTCTGGGGGGCGGGGGGGGGGGCGGGCGCAGGAGTCCCGGGAACCCAGCCCCGGCGGCGGGGGCCGAGCCGCGGGAGACAGACACCGCCGGGGCCGCACGCGGAGGCCTTGGGGGTGAGTGAGGGAGAGCCGCCCAGTGGGGCCTGCTGGGCTGCGCCTCTGCCCAGAGCGAGGTCGGTGCGGTCTCCGTCTCCGTGGAAACCGGGCCCCTACGAAGAGAAACGGGTCCGTCTTGGGGGTGCACGCGTCCGGGGCACCAGGAAGCACTTGGCATCCTGGGCCCTTGTCCCTCGGGCCCTGGAGGCAGCGGCAGGCGCCTCTGCCTCCCGTTCGGCTCCCACTCGGGGGGGTGGGGGGTGGGGGGAGATGCGGGGGCGGGGAGCCTGAGGCTGGGAGGCCCGGCGTCCTCTGCGGCCTCGGCGTGTGTCTGTGGGGGGGGGGCTGGGTTCCGAGGGGAGACGCCGAAGCGGGTCCTGCGGGCGTGGCGGACGCGGGGCTCCTCCCAGGCGCCCCCCCCGCCCCCCCCAGCGGCGTCCCAGGATTCGTGACGCCCCCGCTCTCTGCCGCTCGCGCCCCCCAGCGCCGACCAGGCCCTGGACAGGTTCGCGATGAAGAAGTACTACGACGACAAAGTCTCCGCCCTCATGCAGCCGTCCCAGAAACGGTAGGTAGGGCGTCCCCGGCCGGGCGCGGGGCGGGCGAGGTGTCACGTGCGCAAACGCGCGCACGAGCGGCACCGGAGGGCGGGTCCCAGGGGGCGGCGGTGACCCCGCCCCCGGCGGGCGGAGGGCGGCCCCTCGTGGGGACGGCGGACGCCGTGCCGCCGGGCTGGGTGCCTCTGGTCGGGAGAGACGCCCCTCCCGGGACGGTGGCGGCTCGGGGCTCGGCTGAAATCGGCCTCCGCGGCCGGTAGCCCGCAGGTCCCGGCGGCAGGATACGCTTTCGGTTTACGCTGTGAAAACGTGACCCAGAAACGTCCACGGGCTGGCCGAGCCCAGGGTGCCCAGAGAGCCAGGGGCGCCTCGCGGGGGTGGCCACGGCCGACCACTGGAGCAGGTGGCTGCAGCCCACGGGGCGCACACGCCGGGCCGCGCCCCCAACACGCTGGCCAGGCCGAGGCGACCAGGGCAGAGACAGCCCTGGGCCCCCAGTGTCCTCGACCCCCTTCCCTTCGCCCAGAACCCCGGAGCTGGCAGCCTTGGAGCCGGCAGTGCGTGTCAGTAGGGGTCCAGAGGCCGTGACCGGGTCACGCGGCCACCCCCGGTGTGCACACAGCGGGGCCGAGGGGGCGTTGGAGCCCTCTGGGGGCCGGGACCCCAGCTGTGGCCGGCCACCTGCCCCCCGCCCCGGGTTTCCGTCCGCCTGGCGACTTCGGGGAGCTTCTCCTGGTTGCGCCGCGAGAGCGGAGAGGCAGCTGCCCCCAGGACGGTGCAGACGCTGCAGCCGGGACCCGAGGGAGGCCCATGCGGTTCCCTGGCCTTTCTCTACGGGGATGGGCTGGGAACGGGGTTTTTGAACTTGACTCTCGGTGTCCACTAGGAACGGTCCCCTCTCCGGTTAGTCTGTGCGCAAACCCAGCAGCCCGGACGACGGGCCCCAGTGTGCGAATTGCAGGCGCAAACCACAGACTTCTCTTGTTTTTGACACGAGTGAGGCTCTGCCCGCTGGTGGCTGGAGGTGGGGCACCACGTGCCCTCGACTGGGGGAGCGGCCTGGGCCCCGTCCTGCCTCTGCTGGGCTCCGCGCCGGCACGGGAGACCCGGTGCCGGACGCGCACCGGACAGCGGGCACCGCGGGGGCCCCCTGTGTGCACGGCCGGGCTCGCCGGGAGGAGGGGTGGCCCGGGCCAGGCAGGGTGGTGGGGCCGTGTGGTGGGGCCACACGCCGTCCAAGGTGCCCCCTCCCAGGAAAAATGTCCCCCTGGCGGCCACGTGCGCAGGCAGAGTGTGCGGCCGGCGTGGACGCGGGGGGCGGCATGTGCCCTGGCGCTGGCCCGCCCCCCGGCCCGCCGCAGCTCAGCCGGCTGCGCCCGCAGGTACGTGCAGTTCCTGAGCGGGCTGCTGGCGGGCACGGTGAAGATGAACGCCTCGCCGCTCTTCCTGCACTTCGTCGTGCTGCACGGCACCCCCAGCTTCGACGCTGGCGGAGGTGAGCGCCCCGCACGGCCATTGGGGGGCCGTCCCCGCCCCGGACTGGACAGAGCGTCTGCATGGGGCGGGCTGCTGGCTGGTCGGGGGCAGGACAGTGGGGCACCTCGGGGTCCCGCCTCACACCCCCCTCCCCGGCCCTCGCAGCGTGCCGGCCCTTCCTGAAGCTGTACCAGGCCATGCAGCCCGTGCACACGTCCGGGATCTAGTGAGTGTGCCCGCCGCCTCGGGGGCTGGGGAGGGGGAGGCAGCGGAGCGGCCTGGGCCGGCTCTCTGCGGGCGGGGCCAGGGGTACAGCGGGGAGCCCTGGGCCGGCACCCTGTGGGTGGCCGGGGGTCTGCGTCCCAACCCAGCGTTGCTGCCCTCGCGCTGCCCGGCTGTCGTCACGGCGTCCCCGAGGGGCGTGGTCTGTGGGCCTGGGGGCGGAGGGAGCCACGGGCCGTCGGAAAGAAGCACGGCCAGCCCCGCGACAGGGCCCTTCGCGCAGGCCCTTTGCTCCCTCGAGTTCCCGAGAGAGACGCGCATTCCCAGCACTTGTGTGAACTTCTGGGCGTTTCCGGCGTGGGGCCGCGAAGCGTTTTGTGGACGACGACGGAAAGGGAACAGGAGTGAAAAACGCCCCACACGGTGTCACCATCACTCAGCACGAGCCTCTGTCTCGGCTCTGGGCTCACGACGTGTCCGTCCGGGGTGATGGCCTTCCACCCCCCCCGCCCCCGCTGACCACAGAGCCCTCGGGCGCGGGGCCCCGGGGTGGCCGGCGTGGTCAGCGCCCGGCCGGCCCGGCAACTTTCACTCTGTCCAACTCACCCCAGGGGCAGTCTTGGGGCCGGGCCCCGGGCCCCGCGGGGTGTCTGTGTGACGGCCCCGGGCCCGCGTTCCCAGCTCCCGCTCGGGGGGCTTTCCTGGGGCCATGTTCCTCCCTGGACCCTGGGGGCCACAATGACGCATGTCCTGGTCTGTCCCAAAGCAACATCGGCCCGGACAGCCCGAGTCGCGTCTGCATCGCCATCGAGCCAGCCCAGCTGCTGAAGGGGGACATCATGGTGAGTGCCCCCTCCCCCGCCCTGGCGACTGGCGGCACGGCCAGGCCCGCGCCAGCACCACACGGCACGGTGTGCTCACGGCCGCTGGGCCCCGCACAGACCCGACTCGCGGGAGCGCAGGCTCCAGCCGCCGGGGAGCTGCAGGTGGAGGTCTGTGGGGCAAGGGCAGCTGGCGTGCCTGCCCCTCCCCTGGGCGGGGGGAGCTGCAGTGTCCTTGGGGGGGGAGGGCAGTCCCAGCGAGTCCGAGGAGGACAGGACTCGGGGAGGGGGGCGACCCGGGATCCAGGGCCGCGGTTCCTCCTGGAAATGACCCCGGGGCCCCACCGGGAGGAAATGCCCGGAGTGTCCTCAGATGTTGGCAGAGGTTCCCAGACAGTGGTGGGGCCCCCCCGCCCCCCTGCGAGGGGTTGGCCTGGTCTGCCGAGCTTCTGATGGGCAGGACGCTGCCGGTGGCCGTGACCTGCCGGGCATGCGGGCGCTGCCGCCCCGGGTTTGGCGGGGAACCTGGCGCCGCACTGCGAGCTGGAGGGCGCGGCGCCGGGGAGGCGGCCGGTGCGGGAGGCGTCTCGGGGCCTGCTCTGTGCGAAGGTCCGGACGCCCGGCCTCCCGTTTGTCCTCAAGGACCTGGCCATGGCTCTGCCTCGGCCCCCTCTGTGCCGGGTTGGCCGGCGCCGGGCTCAGGGTGGGCCTCGGCCCCGGGAATGCCGGGTGTCCTTGGTCCCGGGCCTCCCCAACGGCCTCCTGTCCTCTCTGGCCTCCCCCGAGTGGCTTTGCTAAGGGTCTGCCTCGTGCACAGGCACCCCTGCTGCACCCCTGATGGGAGTTCTGCGGGCGGGGCCCCAGGAGGTGCGTCTGCGGCCACCGTGACCGGCGTGGAAAGTTACTGGGGGCGGGGCTGTGCCCGAGGTCCTCCAGCTCGGGGCCCGTGGAGGCGCCGGGGGCTGCTGGGGAGGCAGGGTGGCAGCAGCCCTCGCACCCAGGTCCGAGCTCTGCTCCCCCCACGCCCCCTCCCCTGCGCGCGGGACCCTCCGCCCGGGCGAGCTCACGGGAAGGTCGGCCTGCCGTCCGCCCTGGGGACGGGCGGGGCCTCAGGTGCTCCGTAAACACGCCGGGTTATGTAACCCGGGGAGGAATGTGCCGGGCAGGCCGGGCGCAGCCTGGCGGGCGTCCAGAGCCCGCTCGCCCAGTGAACACGCCCGGCCTGCGTGCCTGGTCCTGCCGCCCCCGCTGCGGCCGCTGCGGCCTGTGCTCCGGGCCGAGGGGCTCCCTGACCGGACCCCGGGCGGAGCGCCGCCCCCCCCCGGGAGTCCGGGCGGACAAATAGGGCCTCTGTGCGTGGTTCCCCGCGAGGCCCTTGTGCGCCCCCGGGGGGAGCCAGCGGCGGGCCCCTCCCTCTGGCTCTGACCTTTGCTCCCAGGCAGGTGGCTGCAGGGCCCTGGCCACTCCCGCCCGGCCCTGCGCTGCTCCGCGCCTCCGTGTGTGTGTGTGTGTGTCCACCCCCCCCCCCCCGTGCTGCCCCCGGTCTCCCGGACCCGCCTGGGCCTCAGCCCCGCCTGCGGCGGCAGCAGCCCTGGGCGCTGTGGGGCAGGCGGCCCGGGGCTCATCCCCAAACCTCTGTCCCCACCCCACCCCCCGGCCTGAGTGCTCTTCGGTGGCTGACGGAGGTTTGGAGGAAACATTCCTCTGGGCAGCCTCCGTCAACACGGGATCAGGGTCGCCCGAGGCGGGACTCCGTCACGTGGGACTGTGGCCGCTGTGTGTGCGTGTGTGTTCACCTAGGGGACACCGAGGTGCAGGGGGCACTCGGGCCGCGGTCCCCGAGGGCACAGGGTTTACCCTGGGGCGCAGGCAGGCGTGCTCGTTGGGGGGGTGAGGCCGACATGGTGGGCGTGGGTGCAGGCTGGACACGGGTCGTGAGGGGCTCCTCCGGGAGCAGCCGCCGGGCGGGGGGCTGGTGACAGGCCAGGGGCCCGGGCGTGGGGCCCCCGGGGACTCCTCCTCGTGGGGAGACCCAGCAGCAGGAGGGACTTGGTGGGAAAGGGTTGCGGTGCAACCACCTTCGGTCCCGGCGCCCCAGGCCCCTCTCGTGGGCTCCCCGGGGCTGCGCCCCCTCGGCCTGTCATTTTAAAGCCTTCGTTCTCCTCAGTGTTTGAGGGCCTGTGAGAGCCGCGTGGCCGCAGCCTCACCTCCTGCCCCTGTGGTCGCCCCCGGGGCCCCACGTCCCAGACACTGGTGGGGAGCGGCAGGCGTGGAGGCGGGACCCTTAGTCCCGTGCACGTGCGGGCGGGAGGATCTGTGTGGGGGGTCTCCTCCGAGGCGTGGGCTAGGGGCCTCGCTGGACAGCCGGCAGGGCCCGTGGGGCGAGAGGCGCCCCGAGGGCGAGGGGGCGAGCGAGTGGGAGCGGCCGCACTGCCACCGCAGCCCTGGTCTGTGGCTGCAGACGGACGCCCTGGCCCGGGGCCCCGGCCGGCCCAGGTCTGGGTCCCGTGGTGACAGCTCAGCACGGTTGTCACTGCAGGGCGCCCCCGTCCCTCCGTCCAGGTCCTGGCCAGTGGCCCAGAGGTAGGCCTCCGGGTCCGCCCTCCCTTGCGGGCGACAGCTCCTCTGGGTGGCGGCTCAGAAGCTCCCCGCCAGCCTCCCCGGGCCACTGGGCCGCTGATGCCGGCACTGCCAGGGACCTCTGTGACCCCACTGGGTCATAAGCCCGGCTTCCTCCAGGGCGAGTCTTTTGGGAAGGTCACTGCTTCTGAAAGCCCCCGGCCCCACCTCCTGTTCCCCACCAGAGAGGCACCCCCCCACGCTCTGCTTGCAGGGACAGGGACCACTGGGGACCCCAGAAGGGGCCTGAGTCCAACCGCATCCCTGGTGATTCTGAGGCTGGTCTCTCACTACCACCCCAGGGCGTGCACCCCAGGGTGTGCATGCAGCCCGGCCGGCCTCCCCGTCCCTCTGCCCCACCTGCACCCACCTCTCAGCTGTCACCCTCTCTCTCTGTGTCTCTGTGTCTCGGCGTCTCCCTCCCCTGCCTGTCCCTAAATCGTAGCACACGCAAATGCACACAGCACGATACAGGCGGTCACGGCCACCCGCTCCTCCGTGGGAACCGGAAAGGCCCTGGGTCCCTGGGTCGGAACGGGGGGCGAAAGGCCGTCCTCACATGCAGTCCGCCGTTCAGGTTTAGCGAAGAGCCGTAGGGTTCCCTTGGGCGGTTGTGCCCCCAGGAGGCCCCCTTCCGGGGGTCTGCAGCGTTGGCGTGGCCTGTCGGGGGGCTGCGGACCGTGACGTGGGGCGCCGGGGTTCCGCGGGGACAGCCTGGGGCGGGGGGAGGACCAGCAGCGAGGGGCACCGCCGTCCCGGCCGCCCCTGCTGCGTCCGAGAGCCGCCGCCCTGTGGGCCCCCCTGGGAGTCACCCCCCCCCGGGGAGGGGCCGTCCCCGCAGCCGTCACGCCTGTCTCCGCCGCAGGTGAAGTGCTACCACAAGAAGTACCGCGCCGCCACCCGCGATGCCGTGTTCCGGCTGCAGTTCCACACGGGGGCCGTGCAGGGCCCCCGCCTGGTGTTCGGGAAGGAGGACCTGGACGGCGCCTGCAGCGGTGAGAGCCCCCCCGCCACCCCGTGACTCCCCGTGCCCCCCGCCCCCGGGAAGGCTGCCAGTCGACCCCGCAAGACAGCTTGCCAGAGGGACGGCGGACCACCGACCTTCCCCTGGGCGGGGTGGTCCTGGCCCCCGGGGCACCCGCCGTCCGTCCGCCCCCACTGTGCCGGCCCCTCGCCCCTGTGCCGGCCCCTCCCCCCTGTGCCGGCTGACGGGGGGCTTCCGTTGCAGATGGCCGCTTCCCCGCCGACGGGAAGGTGGAGCTGGTGTTCTCGGCCACGCCCGAGCGGATGCCAGGTGGGTCGGGGCGGACGCTGGCGGCGGGGGGAGGGGGAGGGTGCGTCGGGGGCTCCGTCCCCTCCCCCACCCTCGCCCACGATCGGAGGTGGTTTGCCACGGGGAGGCGTCAGACGCGGGGGGACGGGGCCGGGCCTCGGTCCCTGGGCCACGTCCCTCCTCCTCCTCGGGGACAAGACGCCGGAGGCTGGCTCTTCCCCCGAACGAACAGCCGGATGAGGCCGGAGAACGCCGGGAGTCCCTTAGTCTGCAAACTGCAGACGTTCGTGTGGGAAGTGGGCTCCCCTCTTTCCTGAGAACGCTGCGAGAGAGGCTCAGCCCTTCGTCGTCGAGGCGCGTGGCTCGTTTGTCTGTGGGAGAACGTTCTAACTCGGCGTTTTTTTCCTAAGACTTTATTTATTTTGAGAGAGATGGGGAGGAAGGAAGGGAGAAAGAGAAGGAGAGAAATGTCAATGTGACCAGTTGCCTCTCATGCGCCCCCCCCCCCCCCGGGGACCTGGCCCACAACCCAGGCGAGTGCCCTGACCGGGAATCGAACCGGCGACCCTTTGGTTCGCAGACCGGCGCTCAGTCCACTGAGCTGCAGCAGCTGGGGCCTGGCTCAGCTCTCCTCGCTGAGTGTGGAGTGAGCTCGGAGTCACGACGGAGGCTCCTGGGCTCCGAGCTGCCGGCTTGGCCGGGCTGACGCCGCGTGTCCCCCCGCCCCCGCCCCGTGCAGGCTGCGAGCACCTGCGCAACGACCGCGGCGTGAGCGTGGACTTCAACACGGCCGACCCCCTGATCCGCTGGGACTCCTACGAGACCCTGGGCGCCGACGGCGAAGGTGCGCGGGGCTGGGGTGCCACGGGGGCGCATCAGTGTCGGCAGCGTGGCCACGGTCCCCAGCTTGGGTCCTGGCACGAGGGCGCAGGGGCACCTGGGCCCCAGGGGTCTGGCCCCAGCAGGCACCCTGCGGGCAGACGCTGCCTTCCTCTGCCCCCTCCACCCTGCTGCGGCCGGCGGGGGGGGCTCTCCGGACGGCCTCCAGCCGTCCTGGGCGGGTCCTGCAGCTGCCCCGGCCCGGCCCCTCACCACTGTCACGCCCCTCCTGGCGGGGACCCCCGCTGGGGACACTGGCTTAGCGTCTGCCGCGTCCTCCGTGGGGACCCTTGCTGTCCCTTCCGGCGGGAGGCAGGCGGCAGGCGGCAGGCCACTCCCTGCGGGCGTGTTCCCGCCCAGACCGGCCCAGCCCTCCTGGCGGAGCCGCCGCCCCGGGAAGCACTGGCATCGGTTAGACATCCGACACTCGGAGCCAGAAGCCGGAGCACAGCGGGCGGGGGGTGCACATGCCAGTGCCCCCCCCCGTCATCGTGCCCACCCCCACCCCAGGCAGATGCACCGCCTTTAGGGTGTCCGAGACCCAGGGCTTCTGGGGGTGGGGGGGCGAGGGCCGGCGGGGCGTGGCCCCGAGTCTGGGGAACCGGGAGGTGGGGCGCGGTGGTGCGGGAAGCACCCCAGGCCGTGCTCCGGACGACAGCCCCGTGGAGGAGCGCGAGGGGCCCGGCAGCAGGGGGAGGAGGCGGGGAGGCCCCACCGGGGCTGTGGGCACGCAGTGGGCGCGGACGCTGTGGCCTGCGGACCGGGTGGGCTGGGCGCCTGGCTGCCGGCCCTGCCCCGAGGGGTCCTGCCTCCGCCTCCCGGGCCTCCGAGACCAGACCCCGGCGAACCTGGCGGCAGCAGGCCCCACCCCTGTGTTTACTCCGCGCGGCCTTTTTGGCAGAGTCCGAGTCCCTGCCCCCAGCCAGCAAGGTCCTCCACCTTCCCTGCTGGGGGGCCGGGGGGCGGGGCCTCGGGGGGCACGCCCAGCCCGGGGTGCTTTCTCCCTGCCCGCACACCTGGGTCCCGGGTCCCGCAGCCCTAGACTGAAGGGGCCATTGGGCGGCGTGGGCAGGAGGTGAGCAGGGGCGTGTCTGTGCGTGTGCATGTCTGTGTGCGTGTTTGCGTGTGTGTGCGCGCACATGTGTGTGCGCGTGTGGCTCCCGCAGACCCAGGAGGAGCTGTGGCAGAGCCGCCGGTCTGTCCGCGCAGAGGACTGGGCTCCCCGCGGGCAGGGGGCGTGCTGGGGAGGGCGGTGGGAGCCCGGTGACCGCAGCCCGGGCCCCGCCGGCGGGAGCAGGGGCCGCAGGCCTGGGGCGGTGGATCTCGGGCCAGCGGCGCCGCTGCCTCCGCCCCGGGGCTGGAATGTGGGAGCGAGGCGTGTCCGAGAGCACCCGCTGCACGGCCGGGTCGGGCGAGGGACGGGCGCCGTGCTGGCCGCAGTCACGGTCGATCGTGTGGTCGGTCTGTCTGTCTGTCTGTCTGGGTGGTCGGCTGGTCCAGGACCCGCCCGGAGCCGGGTCCCACGGTGGGGCGCGCCCCTGCCCGGGGCCGTCTGCCTCCGGTTGGAACGCCTCGTCCCTCCACCCACTTCTTTTCCCAATTGGGCTCCTCCGGGAATGCAGGGCCCGCTCGTTTCCGGAAAACATCAGCCGAGAGCGGGGCTCGGCTCCAAAGGGGGGTTTTCTCGGCGGCCACGGCAGGCAGGTGTGCGGGTGCCAGCGCCCGGAGCCGCCCACCTGCAGCTCGGGGGGGGGGGGCTCTGCGTCCTTCCCACTGGGGCCCCGGCTGCGCCCTGAGGGGACGGGAGGCCGCCGGCAGCCCGGAGGTGGAGGCGTCCCCGGAACGCCTCGGGGAGAGCGGTGGCTTGTCTGTCCAGGGGTGCAGGCTGTGTCCATGCCCTTGGGGACTTAGTGGTTTGTCGCTGTGTTCCCCCGCCCCCCTCCAAATGAAAGAATAAAGCGAAGGTGGAGCAAAGGGTCCCTGTCCTCTAACCCCGGGTCCGTCCGTCACCCGGGGTCCGGCGTTGCCGCTTGAAGGCGAGATCCTCAAAAGCCCGAGTGCAGGCAGCCCGAAGCCCTGGGCCCCCTCTGCCGCGGGAAGTAACCCGACGCAGGTGCAGGGGAGTCTGCCGTCAGCACCCGCGAGGAGGGGCGGGCCCGGTGAGGGCGGGCCCGTGGTGGGCCGTGGCGGGGCCCAGGTGCGAAGGACAGGGGGACTGCGTGGTGCCCGGGGCCGGGGCCGCCCGAGTCAGCACCGTGGCTCGTGGACCGTGAATGAGTCTTTAGAAGTCCATTCCCGTTCCCCGGCCTCTGGGTCCTCGGAGGGACTGGATGCCCCGGGCAGGCCTTGGGGGCCACCCCGGGCCAGGTGACTCCTCCGCAGGTGAGGCGGGCGAGGATCCGGTAGCTCCCCCGGGTCAGCCGCTGTGGCCCAGCCAGGCCGCCGCCCCGGCAGGTTGTGCCGGAAAGCCCAGAAGGAGGGTGAAGACACGCAGCTAAGCCACCCTCGGGGGTCGGCTTTCGCCGGTGCCGCCAGAATCGGCGGGACGTGCGGTGCCCGACCGTGCATCAGGGGCACCGACCGCGTCCCCGTGGACGGTCGGGTTCAGAGGGTGAGGACTGCGGCACGGGCCACGCCGGTGGGGGCAGACGTGGCGTCGGGGGCCGCTCCGGCGTCCAAGCCCCGCCCCGCTGGCATCGGCGCCTCTGGCCCAGAGACGCCGCAGTGACAGCTGGACCCGGGGCCGGCCCCTGCCCTTCCTCTTCCCGTGGGTGACACACTCGGGCGTGAGCGGGGGTGCGTGCGTCTGGTGTCGCTGATTCAGAAGCACCGGCTGCCCGGCCTCGGCCGCGGGGGCGGGGGGAGGGCGGGGGCTGGGGGGACACTGAACCTCGTGCACGGTCCGTTCTCGAGTCCCGGGGGGTTACGCGCCGAGTGAGTGAGCTCGGCCTTCAGGCTGAGCCGGAACCGCCCGCGCGCCCTCACGGCACGCGACCCCCAGCGGCCGGCTCCGAGGGACCCGGTGGGGAGGCCGGGGGTCCCGCCGCTGGTCCCGGGAACTGCTTCTCGCCGCCGTCCGGGGACCCCGGAGGCGTGTTGGCCCCTCGTTACCGTGAGTCGTTGGTGACGAAGTCACATCTGGGCACCCCCCCTGTGACTTACTGACCGACCTCTCCCGCCCCCCCTCCCCCCCCCGCAGTACCACACACCCAGGGCCCTGTCGACGGCAGCCTCTACGCCAAGGTGAGGAAGAAGAGCGTCTCGGACCCCGGCGTCCCCGGCGGGGTCCCGGCCGCCCCCGCCGCCAGCAGCCCCGACCACACCCTGTCGGTCAGCAGCGACTCGGGCCACTCCACCGCGTCCGCGCGGACGGACAGGACCGAGGAGGCCCTGGCCCCGGGGCCCAGCAGGGGCCTGAGCGCCCAGGAGAAGGCCGAGCTGGACCAGCTGCTCAGCGGCTTCGGCCTGGACGACTCTGGGAGCCCCCCGCGGGACATGGCTGAGGCCCCCGGCCAGCGCGGCGGGACGCGCCACGTGGTGCCGGCGCAGGTGCACGTGAACGGGGACGCGGCGCCCAGGGACCGCGAGACGGACATCCTGGACGACGAGGTGCCCGGCCACGCCCTGCGCAGCGCGGGCAGCAGTGTTGGGACCCTGTCCTCCTCTGAGGGGCCCCCGTCGGCCCCCGCCGGCCCCTTCGCCGGCCCCCCGAGCAGCCACAACTCGCTGCTGTCCGAGGGCTTCGGCAGCAGCGCCGGGGAGGACCTGCACGGCGAGCTGGCCCCGGACCTGGGCCTCAGTGCAGGGCCCCCGTACGAGCCCCGGCGGCCGCCGCCCGCGCTCGGGGCGCCCTGCGTGGCCGCGCAGACGCGGGCCTTCGAGCAGAGCGGCTACTCCACGCAGACCTGGGTGCGCCAGCAGCAGATGGTGGCCGCCCACCAGTACGGCCTCGCCCTGGACGGGGAGGCCAGGCTCGTGGGCCGCGGCCCCGGGGACGGCCCCCGCCTGGCACAGGCCCTGCCCAGGCTCCCGGTGGCCCCCGCCCAGGGGGCTGGCAGCAGGGGGCCCGCGCAGAGGGGCACAGGCCCCGGGGCACTTCCGCCCGACACCCAGCGGCCTCCTCCCAGCAACACGCTGAGAGCCGGGTTCCCGGACGTCGGCCTCGCAAACGGCACAGGCCCGGGGCCCGGCCCGGACCCCTCCCCAGGCTCGCCCACCCTGGACATCGACCAGTCCATCGAGCAGCTCAACAGGCTGATCTTGGAGCTGGACCCCACCTTCGAGCCCCTCCCCACCCACCTGAGCTCGCCGGGCGTCCAGGCCAATGGCTCCACGTCCCCGGACGGCGTGGGAGGCGGGCTCCGGGCGGGCGGTCGCCTGCAGGACCGAGGGGAGGACCCCGGCTGGAGCCCCACGCAGCAAGGTGAGCTGGCGTTCCCGGGGGCCCACCTGGCGTGCCCACGTTTCGCAGCGGCACGCTAGAGCAGCGTGTCGGTCCTCCACTGGAGGAGGAGGGAGGTGGACAGCCGGCCCTGGGGGGCAGCCTCATGGGGACAGGAAGGTAGCCCCACAGCCTGGTGCGCCGGGTGTCCCTGAACTGGCCATGCAGGGAGCAGGCGGCGGAGCACAGGGCTGTGCCAGCGGGTGGGGGAGGGTTGGGGGGTGGGGAGACAGCAGGAGGGGAGGGGAGGGGAGGGGAGGGGAGGGGCAGCTTCTGCGGACGGGGCTGACTGGTGGCGCGGCGAGTCCAGGCCGCGTGGGGCAGCTCCAGGACCCAGCACAGCGAGGGTGCAGCCGCCGGGGGCCCCACGTGCGCCCCTGCAGCAGGGGGCTGCGCTGGCTCGGGGAGGCGGGCTGCACCAGCCCTCGCCCCTGGAGTGTGGCGGGTGAGCCCCAGGCCGGGCCTCCCTGCCCAGGTGCTCGTCCTGGGGGGCCCGGGGGCGGGGGCTGTGGTGGATGGGCAGGGACCTCCAGCTGCAGCACAGGCTGTGGCATCCGGCTGCAGGGTGTCGTGGACGTGGGCCCGTGTCCGGGGCAGTCTGTGGCCCTGTGGAGGGGGCCCCGCAGGGCCACACGGCGGTGCCTTGTCTCAGAGGTGGGGGGTTGCCCCTGGGAGGTCGGAGGCACTGCTGAGAGGGTGCTGGCCTCGGGGTGGCTGGGTTCCTGGCACTGGCCGGGGGGACCCTGGCTGGTCTGCACAGAGGCCCCGAGGGACACGTGGGGTGGGGGAAGGGCGGTGGGGGGCCGCGGTGAGACCTCCATGCTGGGGTGGGGGTCAGGGACGGGCCTGGGAGCCGCAGCCCCCGGCTTCGGCCCCGGCGCACGGCCTCTGGGGCCGGGCCCGCTGGTGGGCAGCCCTGGGCCGTCCGTCCTGGGCTGCGAGTGCAGACCCCACAGCCGCTGGAAGGTGACCGGCCCGAGCGGAGCCAGAGTACCCCGGGGCGTCCCGGAGGAACTCCAGCGGCAGCCCCCCGTGTCTCTCCTCGCAGGCCCCTCGGGGGAGGAGCCGCTGCGCAGAAGGTTCCGGAAGCCGAGCCTCGGGCAGTACGACAACAACGCCGCGGGGCAGCCCGCCTCCTCCCGGGGCGGGTGGGGGAAGCCCGCGGGTGCGGAGCCGGCTCCGGGCCTGGTGCCCTTCCTGTCTCCACCCGACGTCAGAGAGGTACGGCCCCCCTGCCCAGAGCCCCGTCCCCCCGGGAGGCAGGTGTGCCGTCCGCCGGGTCTGGGCGACTCCCGGCCACACGGCCGCCTGGGCCTCTGCTCGGGCCTGGAGCGACCTTGGGCTGAGGGGCGGGGCCACAGGCACGTGGGAGGTCAGGGGTTGCGGGCGGGGGGTCAGCAGGAGGTCGGCAGCGGCACAGGTGAACGGAATCCCCAGTGTCTTCAGGGGCCACGGAGGGAAGCAGGACGCGGGGGTCAGCGTGCACACGGTGGGGCCTGCTGGGCGAGGGGCCCCGGGGGTGTCACGGGGCCAGCGTCTGCCAGGGGGCCCAGGGAAGGCTTCCCCCCAGCACTGGAGGCAGACGGGCGGGCAAACCCCCACCCCAGGAGCCCTTGCAAACTCGGGCCTCGCTCACTCTCGGGGGGAGGAGTGGGGACCCCATGCAGACCGGAGAAGAGTCACTATCAGCCCTGACACGCGCCCGCCATTGTGCGCAGCTCCAGAGGGCTCCCCGGCCGCTCCCTGCGTGGGGGGGCTGCCCTGCTCCCCATCCCCACGCTCAGCGAGCGGACTCGGGGGTGGGGGGCCTCCCCCTGACCACCCCCCCATGTCCCTTTCAGACGGTGATGGCCGGGTACCCCCCCGACCTGGACCGGGTGGACAGCGGGATCTTCTCTCTGAGCAAGAGCAGCAGCAGCGAGTCCGCGCCGCCCACGCCGGCGTTCCCGGTGTCCCCGCAGACCCCGTACGGTGAGAAAGGAGCGGAGCGCACCCCCCCCCCGCACCCCCCCAGCCCCCGGCCTGCCCTCCGGGAGGAAGGACCCGGGGCAGCCGCCCGCTCTGCTGTCTTTTCCAGTGACCACGCCCCCGCACCACCCGGCCTTCAGCCTGCCCGGGCCGCACGCCGGCAGCGCCGGCGGTCTGTGCCGAGCGGCTCACGGTAAGCAGCCAGCCCCCTCTCCGGGGTCCCGTGCCCCGTCTCGGCCGCGGGCGCCGGGGTGGCTCTCGCCGGTTCGGCATCGGCCGTGCGTGTCTGCCTGTCGCCCGGCACGGCGTTCGCCTGCCGAACAAGCAGCTTCCTCCCGGGTCCGAGGGCCGCAGGTGCCGCTCGGTGCGCAGACCATGGCGGTCAGGCTGCTGCCCTCTCGAGGGGTCGGACCCAAGGGTGGGGGTGGCACAGCTGCACCTGCTGGTGCTGGGTGCGCGGGCCGTGGGTGCCAGGTCTGCTCCCACGGGCCGGCTCCTCTGCAGCCCAGCAACTCGACAGACGCAACCCCGGTGCCCCGTCCCCAGAGCCCCCGCGGCTGGCGGCCAATTCGAATGGGCTGGGTCCGGCAGGAGCCCAGCGGGGTCCCAGGGCCGCCAGGCCGGGCCCTTGGGGCACGCGGGCAAGAGTGGGGGCAGGTGGCCAGGGGTCCCAGGAACACCTGCCCCCCCACCCCCGGGTGGAGCGGCCGCACCTCCCAGCCGGCCCTGGGGAGCAGCCAGAGGCCCTGCGGCAGGTGCGTGGCCAGGTGCAGGCGGTGGCCCACGGGGCGGGGGGGCTCTCACTGGCATTTAACAGGGAACCAACGCGACCCCCCCAGAAAACAGAAGGGCATGCGGCCCGGCTTGTTCTGGGAGGCCGGCGCCACCCCCAGTCCAGGCCTGAGCCAGCTGGTTTGGGGCTGCTTTCGGAGGCCGGAATGGGCGGCGCCTGCCGGAGGCAGGAAGTGGAGGGGAGCCCCCGGGGGCCTCGGGCGCGGTGGGGGGGGGGCACCCCGAGGCGATCCGCGCGTTTGCTCCCTCCTGTTCTGATTCGAGGCTGTCAGAGCTACCCGTACGTAAATGCGTCCGCCGGCGCCCCCTCCCCTCCTGCGCCCGACTGGCTCCCCCGAGGAAGGTCCGTGAACTTGTCACGAGAACGCGGTGGCACTGGGGCCGAGAGCCCGCGCGGGGGCGGGGGGGGGCGCGGGTCACCCTCGCAGGCGTCCTCAGCGGCTTCAAGTCTGCGGACGCTGAGGGGCGAGTCCAGGTGCGTGCACGGCTGGCGTGCTCCTGTTCGGCCCACGTGTGTCTGTGCAGAGGAAGCACACAGGCGAGCGTGGGCGCCCGAAGCCTGCGGCGGGCGGGCTCTGCGGGCAGCCTGGGCCCGGGCGTGTGCGTGTACAGTCTGCCGTCGCGGTCAGCAGGGGCAGCTCGGAGAGCCCCAGAGGACGCCCCGCGTGACCGGACACCTCAGCCACAGCTGGCCGCGGGCTGCGCCCGCACCCGAGTGGCTGTTTCCCGACGCGGGTGCAGCCCGTCTCGTCTCCCTGCTTTGGGCTCGGAGGGACGCGTGTGTCTCTGGTTCCCCGCCAGCTCAGGGGGCCCTCTGGTGGGCGGTCCTGGGACCTCAGCGCCGGACCCTCTGTCCCCTGTGCGGCCAGCAGGGGTCAGCGCCTGTCGTGGGTGCCGGCCCCTCGGGCGGGGGGGGGGGGGGCGGGCAGTGGGCCCGGGGCTCGGGGTGACAGGCACAGGGAGGGGCCAGAGCTCCGCCTCTGGAAACGTCCTGTAAACTTGAGCAGCAGCGGTCAGGCCCCTGCGTGCACGGCCCCTCGGGGCCGTCTCAGAAACGGGGGCCCGCAGCTCCTGCCCTAGGGGAGGTGGGAAGTCCCGGCTCGTCCGTCCCAGGCCCTGTCCTCGGTGCGGCCACACAGAGCCAGGCTGTGGCTCCCCGTGACGCTCCGTCCTGGGGTGCAGACGCGGCCAGCCAGGGCACGGGTCGGGGCCGCGGGGGGCGGAACCCGGCGTCCGCAGCTCGGCCGGTGCCTGTTCCCGGGGAGGACGGGGTGGCGCGTAAAACTCGGGGCGTTCCCCCTTCTGGAAGTCGGCGCCTTTCGGGGCTCACCTCCCTTCCGAATGCCCCCTGCTTCCCGGCCCTGCGGGCAACGCGCCCCCACTGCCCCTCGGCTGCCTGCCCCCCTCCCCCACCCCCACCCCCCTGCTCCAACCGCCGCCACACCCCGCCGCAGCCACTGGGGCAGCGTTTGGGGGGTGGGACCTGAGAAGGGCCAGCCGTCCCCCGTCACCAGGGGCGTGGGGGTGGGCGTGTCACCTGTTCTTGCCCTTTGTTGCTGGCTGGGGCCCCGCCTGGCGGGGGTGGGGGCCTTTGGGGAGCTCGCAGGGTGACCCGGGGGCCCCAGAGGAGGGGGCCTCCCCGACCGACGCCTGGCCCGGCGCCCGGGGAAGGCGGACAGCGTCCGTTTCAGGTCGGTCTCGTCGCGGTCGAGGCCTCACGGACCCGAGACGGTGCGTGCACACGCGTGTGTTCGTGGTTGCGGTGCCCGGCTCTCTGAGCACGCACGCGCGTGCACACGGAGAGGAGGGCTGCGCTGCCGAGAGACGAAAAGCCGGAGAAGCGAGAGCCCCGCGCTGCCGCAACAGGACGCCCTTCTCGCCGGCGCAGGCGCGGTCGGGCGCCGCGGAGGCCTGGCGGGTAGCGAGGACAGAGACACGCGTGTGGCCAGCTGCTGGGCTTGGGCTGCGTGCGGAGCCAGCGGCTGGGCCGCTGTGCGGTCGGGGCCGAGCGGGGGTCCTGGGGCGGCTTCTGCCTGTCTGGAATTCTCTGCAGAGCGTGCGACGGCGCCTCCCCAGCCCCGCAGGGCCTCCCGGCACGGGGCTGGACCTGGGGCGGCCGAGTGGCCCCCGGGCTCCTGTCTGGTGTCTGGCCCATGGGGGCGTCCTCACATTCCTCTGGGGCTGCGGGGCTCTTGCTGACTGAAGTCACAGGTGCCGGTCACGGGGGCCCCTGACCCGGGCCCCGCCCTCCAGCGCCCCCGGGGAAGCCCGGCCCCCCTACCCCCTCACGCACACACAAGGCCCCCAGCTCCTGTGCGGGGCCCTGCGTGCACCACGTGCTGAGCACGCCCCAATACGGCCCCTGGTTGGGGGAGGCCACGTGCCCTTTCGCTGAGGGCAGGCAGGGCACGGGGAGGTGACCCCACGGACCGCTGGGCTCCGGGGGCCGGGAGGCTGGGGGGGCTGCGTCAGACTGTCCAGGTGTGACCTCGGCGTGGCCGGGCCAGGAAGGGGCAGCCCCTGGGAACACCCGCCCCTTCTCTGCACCCCTGAGGGTGCCGTGGCCGACCGTTCCGCCTCCGTGACCCCCCAGCCCCCTCCCCGCCACACCCCAGACCACAGGCCTTCCCCAGGCCGCTCCCTGTCTTCCTCCTCCCCCCTCCCCCCTCCCTCCCCTTCTTCCTCCGTGAGGCTGCGGCCCCGCCCTGGGAGCACCGTCCTTCCGTCCATCCGTCCATCCGTCCCAGAGCCTCCCGGGCCTGGCTGCACAGCACCCCCCTTCCTGTCTGTCCGGGGGCGATGGGCCGTGGGAAAGGCCGGCCCCCGCTGCTGAGCCTGCATTTCCGGCAGACCCTCTCTGCCCCGAGGCGCGGACGCGTAAACAGTGCACAGGATGGACCCTGCGTGACCCCGGTGGGTGGGGGGAGGGTCCGGGGGATCTCTCCGGCCTGCAGCGCGGAGGCGGCAGCTGAGGGTTCCGGTGAGGAACCTCCCGGTGAGGGGCGTGCGCCTGTCGGAGGCCCCCCAGGTGACGACCCGTGGGTCGCAGGTGGCACGGGGCCGGTCCGCAGCCCTGGGGGACGCCCGGGCTCCTGTCCGATGTGCTGGAGGCAGTGCTGGCCTGCGGGCTGGGAGGGGAGGCCCGGGAGGAATGGGCGTGGGCCTGCTCTCGCAGGGGGGACTGGGGGGACTTAGGGCTTGGCCGTGGCGTGGGACGTGCCCGACCCGTGAGGCTCCAGGGGCCAGAGCGCACTGCCCGCCGCGCCTGGTGGCTGGGCACCGGGGGTCTCGCTGCCGGCCCGGGGCTCCCGCTGTGCAGGTGGCACAGGGACAGCCCCGCCTGTCTGCCGCGCAGACTTGTCCCCATCGGGGTGCAGCCCACGAGGAGGGGGCACACCCTCCCGGTGCCCCAAGTCCTGTGAGAGCGTGGGGCCGTTTGGAACGGCTTTGGAGGCCGTGCAGGGGGTCGTCACCCGTCGGCTTAGGGATGGGCCTTTCGGACGGAGGGAGGAACGCGAGAGAGAGGAGGGCAGACGGGGCCAGGGTGGGCTTAGGGCCGCCAGCAGGGCTGAGGGGTCCGAGACAGGAGTCTGCGGGTGGGGGCTGGGCCGGGCGGAGCCCACCTGGGCCGGGAGGGACTGCAGGGCTGAGCCGGCGGGGAGGGCGGGCTGGAGGGAAGGGCCTTGGGCCGGTGGCTGGCGCCAGAGGTGAGGCGACGCCCCGGTCCTGGGGAGGGACAGGGACAGGGTGTGGACCCCAGCCGGCCAGGTGCAGAGCTGACCAGGGGCCCTTGGCGGGTGCTGGAGGCTGCTGCCCTGTGGGTGTGGGATCCCAGGGACTCGGGCGGACTTCTGGGGAGGTGGCCATCCCTGGCCGGTCTGGGTGTCTCCCCAGGAGTGGCCACCTCCCCTGGGCCAGCTGCTTGTCCCTTGGGAGACGCAGGCCCCCGGGGCTGGCAGCGTTCGAGGGTTTCAGCCGGGCGTTTGCCCGAGACTGAAGGGAGGGAAGGGGAAGGGGAAGGAGGGGACAGGCAGCGAACCAGCGGCGGAGGGAGCGAGGCGGAGCCGCCGCCCGGAGGCACTGACGGGCCGGCCCGCCCACCGCAGCCCCAGGCCGCGCCGGCGGTCCAGACTCCCCCCCCCCCGGCCCCCCACAGCCCGCTCTCCGGCCGCCCTCTGCATGGGCCTCCAGGGAGGTGGCCGCCCAGCGCCCCGCCCCAGCTCCCCCGGGACGCCGGGATCCAGAGCGGCTCTGCCAGGGTGGGTGTGGGACGCTGCTCCCCACGCAGGGCCGCGGGGCACAAGCCCGCGAAGCGCCTCCGCCCGGTCCGCGCCGCCTGCGGCCCTTCCGCGGATGGAGCCACCCGCGGCCGACCCAGGTGAGCGGCCCTCCGCCCCGCGCCGGCCAGGCCGGTCGCCCGTGCTGACACCCGATCTCGGGGCGGTGGGGGAGGGGACGCGGGGGGGGTGCGGAGCCGGGAAGCTGGGGGCGGGGGGGGGGCGACTCGTCCCAGCGTCCGGTCGCTCGGGGCGGCCCCGGGTCCCGGAGACTCGGGGTCCAACGCCGCACTCCTCCGCGCCGGCGCCGCGGGGCGCGGGGCGCCTGGCTCGCGGATGTGCGGCTCGCCGGCGGCGCGCCCGGCCCGGCACATTCCTCCGCTGGGACCGAGAAAACGCAGAAAAATGCGCTTGCCCCGAGCCGGGGCGGTGCTGTGCGTCCCGGTGGCCGCACCGTCCCCCGGGGCCTCTCCTGGGCTCGCCTGCGCCCCCTGCTGGAGAAGCTGGAGCCAGGCGCCAGGCGGGATGGGGGGGGCGTTCACACTGAGCTGCTGGTGCCCCCCCCACCGCCCCCCCACGGTGGGGGCCGAGGGCGGGCTCCACACAAGTCTGTGGCCCACAGGAGACCTCGTCGCGCTCGGGTGGTGAAGGGGACTCCGTGTCCCGCAGCCCAGACCCCGGGGGGACTGGGAGGGAGGGCGCAGGGCCGGGGGCAGAGGGTGCACGGATGGGACAGGCGGACGTAGGGGATGGACATGGGGACAGACGACAGGCGTAGGGGACCGAGGGGAGGAAGTGGGGGGAGGAGACAGCCACCCTTCAGGTTTCTTAGGAATGAGGCCGGTCTGGGTGTCCCGGGTCAGAGGTCGACGCTGCGTGTCCCATGTCCCAGGTCGGAGGTCATGAGCCCCGGTGTCTTCCGCTGGACGGGCAGGTGCGACCTTGTCCTCTGTCGGGCTCGCTTTGTTTCCAGTTGAAGGTCACGCAAGGGGCTCAGGGGTCACTGGTGGTCACCACCAGCAGCCGATACTCGAGCGAGTGATTCGTGCACGTTCGTGAGGCTTTCGCGTCGTCGTCGGGCAGGCGGGCGACGTTGGGGTTTTTTGTTTGTTTGGCTGGTTGGTCAAAGGTCACGTGCCCTGACCTGCGTTGCTGAGGCCCGGACCCTGCGTCTGGGGTCCGAGTCGCACCCTGGATGGGCCTGAGGCCGGCGCCCGCCCCTGCTGTCACTCTCCGGCTGCTCCCCGAGCGCAGGTCCCGGCCTCGGGCGGGGCCTCGGGCTGTGGGACGGGGAGCCTGCGGGTCCCCTTCGTCCTGTGACCGTCCAGCCGTAAACAGTGCACAGTGGGGCTGCCGTCATCTGGCCCCCGTGGGGGCCTCCTCCGTCGGGGGCATAAAAATGGGCCTGGTGGAGCGGCCGGCGACCCGCCTGTGCCCCTGCTCTGGGGACGGGAAGTGCAGGCAGGGGAGGCCAGCCGCCAGGAGGGACGGGGCACCCTCCTCCCACAGGCCGGGGCGCCAGCTGGCACGGGGGGAACCAGGAACAGACTGGTCGGAGCCCCACAGGCTGCCCCCTGCCTCGGGGGCAGCAGGAGCAGGAGAATGGGGGGGTGCCTGCGGGTGTGGGGGGCGCTGAGAGAAGCATCTGCTGGTCCTTGGCAAGGCCGGTCGCTCGGGTGTCGGGGGGGCAGCCTCCCTCCCCCCGACGCTGTGGACAGTGCGTCTCTGAGAGCGGAAGGCACGCCCCCATCCCCCCCCCCCCCCAGCACGAGGCCACGAGCCCGCTGGGCGGGCGGCTCTGAGGACCCGCGGCCTGGGCCGGCGGGACAGGGGGCCGGGGGGCCCGCGTCTCCGTGCCCAGGTCCTCGACTGCCTGCTGCTGGGAAGAGGGTCCGGGTCGGCGCTGAGCTGTGAGCTGGCGGCTGCTGTGGAGAGCGCCTGCCGTCTGTCTCTGGGGCCAGGGGACAGGGTGCGGGGCAGAGCTCCGCCCCACCTGGGGGGCTCCCCGGGCTCCCTGGGAGGGGAGGGAGGGGCCGAGGCCCTTGCACACGGACGGAAGGGTGGGTGGACCGGTGGGCGGGTGGGTGGAGAGGCGACAGATAAAGGACAGGTGGGTTGACTGACCGGAAAGCAGAAGGACAGACACACAGACGGAGGCAGGTCCCAGAGGAACGTGCCCCCCCCAGAGGACGAGATGTTCTCCCCGGCAGCAGACTGGGCCCCGCGGGGCCTCCCCTGGGCCCCTGCGCCCCTCCTCCTCAGCAAGCGTCCGCGTCCTGCGGTGTCCCAGCCCCTGCCGGGCCCCCAGACCCGCGCTTGCCTCTGGCCCCTCGGCAGAGCCTCATTCCGGACCCCCAGCCCCGCCTGCTGCCTCTGAGCTGAAGGGTCCGGCATTCCTCGGGCTCCCCGGGGGCGCGGTCCGTGGCCGGGAGCAGCAGCCGCGCCGTCCCCTGGGCCATCCCGTCCCGGGACCCAGGCCCCTGGGCCACGTGGAGCCTCCGGGACATCCCGCTTCCCCTGCCGGTGGGTCTGCCCTCGCTCCACCACCTCCAACCGTCACCATGTCCCTTGCTCTCCTGTCCCGCTGCAGATCCCCAAGGCTGCCCCGAGGTCCTCGGTCACCCTGCGGGGATGTCAGAGAGCCCCCTGGGGCCCAGAACCCCGGCATCGCCCTTCCCTCGGATGTTCCTGTCCCCCTGCGGCAGCGCCGGCGGCGGCCCCGGCCCAAAGAGGGACAGGTGGGCAGGGACCGGCTCCCGGGAGGGGGTGCCCGTGCCTGGGCTGCGTCCCGCTCGCGTGCTGCCCCGGGTCCAGCTCGCATGCTGCCCCGGGTCCGCCCTGACCGCCGTGTCTCCCAAACAGCCCATCCGCCGAGCCGCAGTGGGCAGACACCGGCCCCAGGCCCATGCTGGCCCTGCTGGGGGGCCGCCGGTCCCCGGGGAGCCTGCTCGGCCCCGGCGAGTTCCAGGACGGCCCCGGCCCTGGGTGGCCGCACCGCCCACCTGCTGAGCCCCAGGCTGCTCTCCACAGCCACCCGCTGGTGCTGGCGGAGCCCCCGGAAGTTCTGCATCCCCCAAGCAACCAGGCCTTCCTGGGCTTCGGCGCGGCTCTCGTGGGGGCCTCCGTGGGGACCGGCCTGCCCCCTGGGGAGGCCCCGGGGGCCCCGCCGGCCGGCTCCCAGAGCTCGCCCCAGCCCCTCAGCCCCCCGCGGGCAGCCGCTGACAACGGCTTCCTGCCGCACGGCTTTCACCTGGCGTCGCCGCCCGGGCGCAGCGGCCGCCACAGCCCCGTCCTGCCGGGCCCCGGCCCGCCCCTGCCCGAGAAGAAGCGGGCGTCCGAGGGCGACCGCTCCTGCGGCTCCGCCTCGCCCTCCTCCAGCGGCTTCTCCAGCCCCCGCAGCGGGAGCACCGTCAGCATCCCCTTCCCCAGCGTGCTCCCGGACTTCTCCCGGTCGCCCGAGGCGGCCGCCCTCTCTCTGGGTACGTGCGTCTCCCTGGGGGGGTGGGGGGGAGCCTGTGTCCCCTCGGGCACTCGGGAGGGACCCCCGGGGTCACACGGGGCCTGGGAGCCAGCAGGCCCGCTTCTTCTGCCCAGCGCGCCCCGGAGACGGGTCCCAGCGCCTCGGGCTTCGCCCACCTCCCGGCCCCTCCCCCACCCTGGGGTCTGCGTCTGTCCACATGGGATGCACCCCATGGCTGAAACACGGCGGGGGGTCTCTCCATCCACTCAGCCCTAGTGCCCTCCAGAAATACCTTTGTTTTGCGAACTAAATGGCTTCGTTTGAAACTTAATGCGGACTGTTTCACGTTACCAGAGGAAGGTCCCGGCACCCTGAAGTGCGGCCTCGCTCTGTGCCGACTAACACCGGGTGCCGGGGTGTCCACAGAGCCCCCCGCCCCGGGTGCTGCGCTGCTCTGTCTCGTGCCCCCCCACCCCTGCCAAAGAGCACCCTCCCCGGACTCCCCGTCCGCACCCTGGGGGCCTCAGACCCTCAGTCCCCTGGGCGGTGAGCGCGTGGTAAACAGCGCCCCTCACAACAACGGTTCTGGTTCGGTCGGCAGGTGACCCTGGTGACAAGCACGTGTCGGTGAACTTCGTGCAGGACACCTCCAAGTTCTGGTACAAGGCGGACATCTCCCGAGAGCAAGGTGCGTGGCAGGCGGGGCCGGGGGGGCCTTGGGGCCGTGCCTGGGACGAGGGCACGGAGCAGGCCTGCACCTCGTTATACACCTGGGAGCGCCGCATCCGAGGCCAGGTCCTCTGGAGGGGCTGCCGGGGAAGGGGCACCGCCGAGGTCCTGCCAGCGCGCAGGGCGTGATTTCCAGAGACTTCCGCCAGCCCAGCCCGAGGCCTGGCTAGTCACAACTGCAGGCAGTGGCAGGAGACGCCCCCCAGCACGTGTCCGGGGTCAGGAGGGAGGACGGGCGTCCCCCGGCGTCACCTCACACGCACCCCCGCGGGGAAGAGCTGGCTGGCTCACAGGCACGCCACCCGTGGCTTCGGCCAGCTCAGTCCCCTGTCGCTTTTTATGGGAACGTGGGCAAACACGTCCCCAAGGGAGCCAAGATGGGGTCCCCCTGGGCTGACCAGCAGCCGCCCCCCTTAGCAGGACTCGAGGTCCCCACAGCCTGGTGGCCCGACTCACGGGGCCTGCTCTCCCGGGAGAGGCTGTGACTCAGCCACATGGCGGGGGGGGGCGCTCTCTCTCCTGGGAGACGCAGCGAAGGCACCAGAAATGAAGTTCCTCACGGGCATTCTGGGGGGTGCTGAGAAGGAGGTGTCACAGCTCTGCTCGCGGAGGGTGGGTGCCCCAGCCCCCGATGCCCCTGGACCACGCCCGGCCCCTCCGCGCCTCGGTCTCGCACCCAGGGATTCCCAGAAACACGTGGGCACCGAGGCAGGTGGCCGCAAGCAGCTCTGCCAGCCTCCTCACTGGAACTCCTCTGTTCGGCCGAGTCGGTGATGAACACAGCAAGAATGTGCTTTTCTCCCATGGGCTCAATGACACTGTTGTCACTTAGCACGGGGGTGGCCCGCGGCCCTGGGACGTCTCGCCTCCTGAATCGGCCTTTGTGGCCGACTGAGCACTGCCTGTCGGGGGCTCCAGGCCCACCCCGGGTTGGGAGGACCCCCACGGCCCAGCAGGCAGCCCTGCCCGGCACCTCGGCCCTCAGCACAGACTGTGAGGCATCCTAGTCGAGCCCCGTGTTCTAGATGCTTCTGTGTGGACCCCACCTTCCACCAGGACAGCCTTGTAGACCGGGGGCTGGGCCGGCCTGGCTGCCCCCTCCTCTGCCAGGACAGCCACGGCTGGTGGGAAGTGGGCGGGGATGGCTCACCCGACACGCCGTGGGTGGGGGAGCCGGTGCCCCGGGAGCCCCCCAGCCATCCGCCACCCCAGCACACAGCGGAGGGGTCCTTTGGGTGGGGCCTCTCTCAGGACAGCTGCCCTGCGTCCTGGGCGGCAGTCTCTCCAGCTGAATTTAAAGCGTCACTTGCCAGACACTCTGTGAGGCTGAGGCCACACTGACACGTGTCCTGCGGGCGTGCCTGTCACCTCTGCGTGCCTGCGGGCCTGGGCTTGGATGTGATTTAACTGCTGGGCTGTGCCTTTCCCGTCAAAGTGACCGTGACATTTCAGGAAGACGCGGGAGAGAAAACCCCGAGTCTCTTTCGGAACGGGACCTGTCCCCTGTCTCCGAGGGGACGGTATTCCCTGGGCACTGTTTCTAAGGGACCCGGCTGCAGCCGAGCAGAGCTGGACACAGCCGTCCCGGCTGCACTCCCCGGGACTTCGCCCGCCCCACCATCCCCAGAGGCTGGGGGGGGGAGGGGTGGCTGAGGCCGAGGACGGCTCTGCCCTCCACCCCCCGCAGCCGGACACTGAGGCCCCCACCTGTCGCCCCTGGCACAGGCAGGAGCTCAGTCCCTGACCTCGGCGCGCCGTGCTGGCCGGCTCATTCAGTAGGAAGAGTCTGACCTTGTCCCCAGGCTCCCCCCCCCATGGACATGGAGCTGGTGGCCTCACTTCCGGCCTCCCAACTTCTGGGGATGGGACTCGGGGGCGAGACCGGCCTGCCCTGGGCCCACCCCCCCCCCAGCTCTGGCCCAAGGATGGGCCTCCTTTCCACAGGAGTGGGACACAGTTGTGACCCGAAGCTCCGGCGACCTGCGTCACAACGGGCCCCACTTGCAGGGGCGGGGGGGCACTCTGTCTGGTCCGGCTCAGCGTGGGAACTCGCGGGTGCCCGCGGGCCCTCTCGCCTCTCCGCCCCTGCAGCCATCGCCATGCTGAAGGACAAGGAGCCCGGGTCGTTCGTCGTCCGGGACAGCCACTCCTTCCGCGGCGCCTACGGCCTGGCCCTGAAGGTGGCCACGCCCCCGCCTTCCGTGCTGCAGCTGAACAAGAAAGGTGGGTGTGGGGGGCCGCCACCCCGCCTCTCGGTTCTGTGCCTGCCTCGGGGGGGCAGGGCCGGGGGCCGGCTCAGAGCAGCAGCGCTCACGGGGGCGGCTCTCGGCGGTCCCTGTCCCGGCCGACTCGGCCGCGTGTCGTTAGGCACCGTCCTGGGTCCAGAAGGTCAACTCTGCGTAAGGTTAACTCTGTCCTCGCGGCTCTGACCGGGCGGCCCTCTCCCCGGCCAGGGTGGGGACGGGGCTGCCAGGCGTGCCCGTCCCCTCCGGCCTCGCCGGGACCGCGCCCCTGAGCGGGCCGCCCGCGCCCCTCTGGTCTCACTTGAAGGGCCCGCTGCGCGCACGGCGCTGGTCCCCGCGCCCCGGCCGAAGTGGGCCTGGCGGGCAGCGGTCCCTGCGCTGCCCCTTCCCGAGGCGAGGGCGGTGCCTGCCTGCAGCCCGGCTCCCGTGCGGGCCGGACGGCGGACTCGCGTGCGGGCGCGGCCGCCTCCACGCAGAGTGGCCTCTCCTTGCACCGCCCGCCGCCCCTGCCCCGTCCTCCCTCGAGCTCGGCTTTTGATCGTCCCTTTTCTGTCCGCCCACCGTCCGACCACAGGCGGGGACCTGGCCAGCGAGCTGGTGCGGCACTTCCTGATCGAGTGCACCCCGAAGGGCGTGCGGCTGAAGGGCTGCGCCAACGAGCCCTACTTCGGTGAGGGGCTGCGGCGCGGGCGAGGGCGTGGCCCGGGGGCGGGGCCGGCGTGCGGAGAGCTCCACCCCCGGTCGGGCCCTGGGTCCCCGAGTCGGAGTTGCCTCCTCTCTGAACTGCCCTGAGCTAACGTAGTCTGGACACGAACCCCCTGAAAAGCACCGTGCTGGCCCCTGTGTGGACGGGAGGGGCGGTGAGCGCGGCCACCCCACGGGCACAGGAGCCACCCAGCCTCCCTCCCTGTGCGGGACGCCCGGGGCGAGGCCTGGAGGCCTGGACGCTGCCGTCTGCGTCTCAGGCTGCGGGTCGCTCGCACAGAGCCACGGCGACGGCGACGCACGCGTACCGGGGCCCCGCCCCCAGTCCTCCGCGGCTCTGCCGAGGTTTTGCATGCGGTCCCTCAGACGGCAAAGCGCGTTAGCTGCTGGGAAGACCCGGCCCTTCCTTGGCCCGGCCCCCCGGCGGGCCAGCCTGCTGGGGAACACCGTCTGCAGGGTCCCGCTGACCCTCGTCTGCGCTTGTGTCCTGCAGGGAGCCTGACAGCCCTGGTGTGCCAGCACTCCATCACGGCCTTGGCCTTGCCCTGCAAGCTGCTCATTCCCCACAGAGGTACGCGGCCGGCTCCCGGGGCCACCCTGGTGCTCAGCGGGGCCTCCCCCGTGGCGTGTCCGGCACGCGGGGTCAGCTCGTAAAGGCCCGGCGGGAGAGCCGGGCCAGGAGGCGCTTCCTCCCTGTACCCCGAGGGTGACGCCTGCAGGGTGCCACCCGTGCGCCCGAGTCGGGGACCAGAGAGGTGGCCTCGCTGCACCCACGTCCCCGACCACGCTGTCCCCCCCTGGGCTTCTTGAGGGGCCCAAACAGATGAGGTGCCGGCACCCAGAGGCCCCAGGGTCCCCGACGCCCATCTTCATGAGTCCGCGGAGTCAGGGAAACACTGATGCCGCTGAGCGGGGTGCTGCGTGAGCCTCCTCTCTGCCCTCGGGCTGTGGGAAGACCCCCCCCAACAGACAGTGGAGAAGGAGCACGCCCACGACGGCGTGACAGGGTGGCGCCACTGCTGTCCTGCCCCGGCCCCGGGTTCCAGCCGTCCGAGTCCTGGCCAGCGTCGCCTACCCCCACCCAGTCACGTCACCGGGGCTCACCCCGAGGCCCGGAGGACGCCGGCTGGACCGTGCCCTCCCAGCTCTCGCTGGGAAAGGGGTGGGCGCGCCTCTGGGCTGGACCCTCGTTCCTGCAGAGCGGGTGGCCGTCTAGGAGTCGGTCACGAGCGTCCCCCCCCTCCCGTCGTGGGAGGTCCCCCAGCGACCACACTCAGCCTCCTGTCTCCCCGCTCCCTCCTGCAGATCCGCTGGAGGAAATCTCGGAGAGCTCTCCCCAGACGGCGGCCAACTCCGCGGCCGAGCTGCTGAAGCAGGGTGCAGGTCAGTCCGGCTCCGGGCTCGGGCAGCGGCCGGCGGGGTCAGGGCCACCCCCCCCCCGCCCCAGCCTTCCCTTCTGTGTGTTTGGAGGCGCCTCGCACACACAGCTGGCGGGAGGGCGGCGCCCCAGGCTGCCGATGCCCCTCCGACATGAGGGACAGCCCTGCTGCCCGAGTCACATGCGGCCGGGGCGTCGGGCGGCAGCCGTTCTGAGCTGCGCTCTGCGGGGTCTCCCTGCCGTTGGGGTGCACGGTTTCCCGGCGACTCCTGAGGTGCGGTGTCCTTCCGCGGGCGTGCTGGCCACCTGCACGTCCTCCCTGGCGAGGTGTCTGCCGCCGTCCTCGGTCCGTTGCTTCAAGAAGTCGGGGGTTGGTTTTCCTCCTGTTAGGAGTTCTCCGTGTGTTTGACCGGAGCCCTCCATCAGGCGTGTTTCTCACGCACTTTCTCCCGGCCGGTGGCTTGTCTCCTGTCTCTGGACGGAGTCTCTTGCAGAGCAGGGGCTGTGAGTTTTAGTGCGACCCGGGTTGCCGATTCCTCCTTTTGGGGCCGGGCCTCGGGGGCCTTGGGTGTCGTGCCTGAGAAGCTGTCACTGAGCCCAAGGTCGTCTGGGTTTTCTGAGGTGTCAGCTTCGAGGAGTTTCCGAGTTCCGCATTTCACCCCGAGGTCTGCGGTCCATGTTGAGTTGGTGTTTGAGAAGGGCGCGAGGTCTGTGTCGAGACGCGCTTTCTTGCGCGTGGGAGTCCGGCGGCCCCGGTGCCTTGTGGGAAAGACCGTCTCTGCACCTGTGTCGGGGAGCAGCCTGCTGTCCACATTTCTGGGGGGTCCTGTCCGGGGCTCCCCGCCCCTCCCCTGACCCCTCTCCCGCCGGTGCCGCCCTGGCTGGCTTCCCGCAGTGTCCCCCCGAGTCTGAAAGTTGGCCCCCCCGCCCGCCCCCCGTCCCTCCCCTGCAGTGTCCTGTGGCCCCTCCTCAGCGCAGGACCCGCTGGCCCCTCCCTGCCAGTAACCCGCGGGGCTGACGGCAGGTCACGGGGGAAGGGCCGGCATCCGGGCCACTGGTTTGGTCTTCGGTGTTTTTGTCGGTTTTGTAGTTTCCCTCACACCGGCCTCGTGTGTGTTCTGTTGGATTCGCACCTGGGCGTGGGGTACGAGTGTGCGTGCCGTGTCCCCCGCGGGCGTGCAGGAGAGCGGCCGACTTCCGTGCGCCCAGCCTGTGTCCTGCGACCTTGCTGTGGTCGCTGGTTCGTGGCAGGTCTGGTCACTCGGCAGCATCGGATACCGGCTCGGCGGCCCCGTTTACGAGGGACTCGGTGGGAGGGGACAGCTCAGAGACCCCGAGTCCCCTCTGGGAGTCTTCTGCTTAGGTGGACGGTCACTGTGGGGCGTGGCGGAGGTGGGGGCCGAGGGATCTGCCCAGGAGCCGCCATGGCCGACAAGACCAGACCAGCGAGCGAGTCAGGACACGGAACTGGGCTGGAGCTGCTGGGGCGGGGGGGCGGGGGGTATTCTTAAACTGAACCCCTTCGCTGTCCTGGTTCACTCAGAACCTCCGCTCCCGGACCTGCGCCCGTCCCGGGGTTCTGCCGGGCCGGCTCCTCGAGGGGAGGCCGGGGCCGAGCCAGGAAGACGGGGGTGGGGGCAGCCCGGAGCGCGAGGCCACACTTATTTCCACGTCTCCCCGGTGTGGCCCCTTCCATCCGACCCAAGCATGGGTCTGGGCCACCCCGAGCCCTGCTGTCGGCATCCGCAGCCTCGGTCCTGGAGGGGCTGCGGGGGGGGGAGGGGGGGACACACATGCGGCCCAGCCCCGAAAGGAGGGCTCCCCCCCCTGCCCCGACCTCTGGCGCGCTGCCCACGGGGCTCGGGGCTGCGGCGTCACCGGCTGCGTGTGACGTGTGTTTTCCGCATGAAGTAACGCGCGTCCTTCAAGCTGAAAAAGGAGACGCAGGAGAGAAAGGGAGAGTGACTCAGGCGCGGGCCTGGCGGCCACACGCAGACCCCAGCTGACGGCCCCTCGTGGGCGTGGCGACGTGGCCGCGGTTCTGAAGCCGTGGGGCATGGCGTCGGCAGCTGAGGGGCGGTCGGTGCGCCGTGCGGCCAGCTCCCTGGGGTTGGCTGTCCCCCTAGCTTGTCTCCGGCGGCGCAGAACCTGAGGTCCACCGGGAGGCCACTCTCCTGGGCTACTCTCTTGGCTGAGCTCCGTGCGGCTGCCTCCCGGCCCCACGGTCCCAGAGGGTGGGGCTGGCCGGAGCGCGTGGACGGGTCTCCCCATAGCCGGGTCGCTGTCGTCCACACAGAGCGCCCATGCTGGGGTGATGGCACTGTGTGGTGTCCCATGGGCATCACACCTGGCCCCCCCAGACGAGGGCACCCCTGGGGGGGATGGGGCATCAGGCCAGGCCCGGCTGTGCACTGCGGGGGAGGAGTGAGCCCCGCAGAGCTGCCCAGGCCTCACTGGGGGCAGTGCCCGTCTGCTCGGACGGCCCCACACGGCTCTGCCCGTGGGGAGCGGGCCCCAGACACGGCCTCCTGCTGCTTGTCAGAGGCGGAGGCGCTACCACCAGGAAGCTGGGATGCGGGTCCGGCCACCCGTGGGCGCCAGTGGGCACCAGGTTCCCAGGGCGCCAGCTCCGGGGGCCTCGCTGCAGCCGGACCAGAGCTCTTTCTCCGCTCCCCTCCTGGGACTGCCTGGCAGCCGCCCCAGCACCAGACTCAAACGCAGGCCCTCCCTCTCGTGACCACGAGCAGCCTTACATTTTCCAGGCGGCCGGCCAGCGCCTGTCCGCACGCACACACACACACACATGCCTTTTACTTCCCGCCGGAGGCTCCGCACGGAGACGGTCCTCCTCCTGCGTGTCCCGCTGACCGCGGCTGGTTCCCACACGGCCGCGGTTTCCACGGTGACCACCGGCTGCTTGCTCTGGGCTCTGTGGGGGAGGGGTGTTGGCTGCTCTCTTGGTCAGAACATGACTTGCCAGCTTTTCCCACTGTGGCGTGACGTGGCTGACACCTTCACCCCTGTGTCACGGGTGTGTCCCTTGTCCCTTCTCAGAGGCAGCACCTCTGGGACACCGGGCCGGTGGGGGCGGCTCTTCTGATCCGATAAACGTGGCTGGGCCATCCGGGAGAGCGGTGCCCTGGCGGACCCCCGGTTCCGTGAAAGCAGCCGGGTCGCACCGGCCGGCAGGCACAGGCCCTGGGCGGCCACCAGCCCTGAGTCACGGCTGCTCCCGGGTGTCCGCCTGCTCAGAGCCCCTGGCAGGGCCGTGATTTGGGGCCCAGGCCACGTGCCCCTCCTCGGAGGTTCCCTTCTCTCCCCGGGGGCGGGCTCTCGTCCCACCCAGGCCACGGTGACGCCCAGGAGGTGCCCCAGCCTCCGGCCGGACACGGGGCCACTGGAGCCCCCGGTGGCCCAGTGCTCTGTCCCTTCCCCACACGGACCTGGGCTGCTCACTGCCCACCCCCGGCACCGGGCAGGGAGCCCTGCCTCCGACGCGCCAGCGCCGCTGCGTGTCCCGCAGACGAGCTGACACGCGCCCCTGCCCCGCAGCCTGCAACGTGTGGTACCTGGGCTCCGTGGGCACGGAGTCCCTCACCGGCCACCAGGCCGTCCAGAAGGCCCTGAGCCTCGCGCTGGCGCAGCAGCCGCCGCCCCTGTCCACGGTCGTGCACTTCAAGGTGTCGACGCAGGGCATCACCCTGACGGACAACCAGAGGAAGTGAGTGCGGCGGCGCGGGCTCCTGTCCGGGCGTCGGCGGGGGCGGTTCCCGGGGAAGGGGGGTGGGGGTTCCGGCGCGCGCTGCCCCTCCCCGGACGCTCGCGCCTCTGCCACCCTGGGGGGCGCGCGCTCCGCCGGTCTGCAGGCCGCCAGGGGGCGCCCGCGCGCGGGTCCTCCTGGGGGCCGCCCCAGCGCCACGGTCACCCGCCCACGTCCCCGCAGGCTCTTCTTCCGGAAGCACTACCCCGTGAACACCGTCATCTTCTGCGCGCTGGACCCGCAGGGCAGGAAGTAAGGCCCGCGAGGCCCGCGTGGGTGCGTGTGCGCGGCCCGCCCGCTCAGTCCGTACAGAAACTAACGCGATTTCCGTTCTCTTGAACTCGCCAGGTGGGTTGCGGACGGCGTGGGCTCCAGGTGAGCTGCCAGCGCGGCCCCACGAGGGGTCCTCGTGAGGAAGGGACTCAGCGATGCCAGTGGGCTGGGTCTACCCGGGGGCCCGGAGACGTGGTGCTTGGGGGCGGCAGGCGCAGGCGCACGTGGCTTCCCGCCCTTGCCTCTGGGGCCGGGCAGCGCGGGGGCGGAGCGCACGCCCACCGGGGGCCGGCCCCATCGCCTGCCGTGGACCTCGGCGATGTCCGGTCACAGCGCCCTCTCCCGGGGGTCCCACTCCCCAGCCCCTTTGTCCAGGGTTCCCACCAGGGGCTCAGAGGCCGCCCGAGCCCCGCGCTCGGCTGCAGAGCTGGCTGCGCTCCCACCGCGCGGAATGTGCGACCCCATCGGTGACTCGAGTGCCCTGGGCCGCTCCCTCCCGCGGCGTGGGGGCCGCTAAACTCCAACAAAAAGCCCCTTCATGTCTCTGCGGGGGGAAGGGAGCCTCCGCCGGCGCTGGGGCGTGAACAATGGCGGCGTTGTGCTGAGCCGGGGCTTCCGGGCGCCTGCTCGGATCGCGGCTGCGGTTCTGCCGAGAAGTCCCGGCTCCCGCCGCCCGCGCGGCACGCAGTGCAGTCGGCCTCCAGCCTCGAGGAGGGACCTGGGCCCGTGGGGGGCGGGGGGCGGCATCTAGGTGGCCGGTGCGTCCCCCTCGATCTCAGGAACCACCAGTGGGGGGACAGTGCCGGCCTGGCCTGTGTTCCCATCTGGTGGGACTCCGCGAGGACTCGGGGGAGTGGGCTCGCGACCCCACCCCACCAGCCTCTGCAGGACGGCGCCAGGCGTGGGGCGGTGCTGTGGTCAGGGCCCCGCCATAGGGCCCTGCCGCCCCACCTCTTGTGCTGCCCCGCAGGGCCCTGCCTGCGGAGAGGGGCAGGAGTCCGTCGCGTGGCGCTGCGCCTGGATGGTCTCGGCGGAGGGAGCGGAGGTGGTGGCAGGCAGCGGAGCCCTGGCCCTCCCGGCCTCCCCGCCTGGGCCAGGACGCTCTGACCGCCTCTCCTTGCAGAGCCTTCGGGTTCGTGGCCCGGAAGCAGGGCAGCACCTCGGACAACGAGTGCCACCTGTTCGCGGAGCACGACCCCGAGCAGCCTGCCAGCGCCATCGTCAACTTCGTGTCGAAGGTCATGATTGGCTCCCCCAAGAAGATGTGAGCCCCCCCCCGCCGGCTCCAGACGCCCGGGGGCTGGGGCGGCCCGCCGCGCCCCTGCGGTGACCCTGACCTTCCGGCTCCTTCCGTTTCCCGAGCACCACACTGCCCCGCCCCCGCGCCCTTCCTGAGACAGACGGTGCCCGTGTCCGTCTGCAGCCCGGCCCTTTCTGGGCAGGAGAGGGTACCAGGTCACCTGCCCAGCTCCACGCCCAGGACCGCCCCAGGAAACGCGGGGTCCTGTGCACCTCCCATGCCAGAGTCTGGGGGCACCTGGCCCACTGGGCCGTGGCTCGAGTGACCACGGAGTGCAGCCAGCACTGCGACCAACGCCCTCGGCCACCACCCTCCCAGGACAGGGACGCACGTGTGATGCGGCTTCACGCGGGCCCTTCCGGAACGCCGGGGCCTGGACAAGGGGACCAGGTGATGGCCCGTGAGAACCAGGGTGTCACTGTGGGGCCCAAAGGTGTGCCGGCTGCGGAGAGGAGGGGCGAGGACGGAAGTGAAACGCCATTTCCACGTACTTTATCGCTTTTTTGCCAAGTCACTTGTGGTCACATTTGTCACTGCGGCCTGTGGGGGTGTCTCAGCCCGGAGGCACCAGAGGAGAGGGTGCCACTGTGCACTGGCTCCTGTGTGCGGTGACCACTGTCAGAGTGTCGTTTCCAGGCTGCAGGCGACATCCTTTCTGGAGTGGAAGGTTCTGGAAGGGTGGGACAGGCTGACCTCCAGGAGCTCCCCTCTGGTCTGTCACGACCACGCCTGCGGGCTCCTGGAGGGTCTGCGTGCTTCCGGCCCCCCGAGCTGGGTGGAGGGCGTCTCAGTCTCACGGGGGTTCGGGGCCCCACCTCGCCTCAGTCACGGTCCGAGAGGCACCCGCCCGGACGCCTGTGGCAGTGCTGCGGCCTGTCACCTGCCCCATCTGCAGTCGCGGGTTGGGGAGCAGCCAGCGGCTCTGCCCAGAACTCCAGTTCTCCACTGTGGACGCCGAGCACCGGCCCCTCTGTCCCCCAGAGTCGGCAGGGGCGGGCCACAGGCTGGGGTGGGGTGGCTTCGTGGACCCCGGGTGAAGCAGATTCAGGTGCGGGGCGAGGAGCTGGGACCGGGGGGCGCGGGGGCCCTGCCGCTCAGCTCCAATCCCAAGTGCCTCCTTTCTGTGCCAAAAGACCGCCTTGTCCCCCAAGGCGGGCCTCGTCCGCCACACAGCGGGCATCTCTTCGGTCCACGCCCTGGTCCCCGTGGAGGCACACATGCTGTCGCTGTCAGACTCGGGGAGGGGGCCGGGTTGGAGCTGTCCCTGGGAGATGGCTCGTCTCGAGATGGCTCGCACCCACGTCTGACTCAGAGAGGCCAGGCCCCTCGTCTCTCGGGCAGAGGGGGGCGGGCGGGCGGGCGTGGGTCTGCGACTCGGGACCCCGGGACTCGGAGACCGGGGTCCCCCTCGAGGTGGCATCCTGGATGCCGAGAAGCCGGGCACCTGGCAGCAGCGTGACCTCCCGGTGGCCGAGGGCCCCAGAGGTTTGCTCCAAGCAGACGGCTCCTGAGGAAGCCAGCGCCGGCTTCTGACGAGCTGGTGTGACAGGGCTCTTTGCGTGTTACACACGCATTACACAGGACCACACACCCATGACCTTGGCGCCAGGCCGTGGGTGAGCCCCACCCCCCACCTGGCTCCACGCAGGGGCAGACCCCTCCCCAGGCTCCTGGTCTCCGGGTGCCCCGGGCACCAGGCACAGGCCTGGGCGCTCGCCAGAAGTGTGCCCGTGAGCGTCGCAGCCAGGGTCCCTTTCAGCCCTCGGTCCCCTACGATGTCCCCCCATCGCTCACCTGTAAGCCTCTCCCTGTGTATCCTGGCGTCGAGACGCCCTGCGTCTCCTGATCTGCCTTAACTGCCAGTGGGCGTTCCCACGTCTCGTATGTTGCAAGAGCATATGCAGTGTGTAAACGAATGTTCTGTGAGGTCTCTGTGTAGCCGCTGTCTCTGCTCTTCCAGCACCATTACAGTCAGAAAACAATAAAGTATTAACCTTCGTAACCCTCCTCCAGGCGTCTGCTTCTGCTGTTGGCACCACGGCTGGAGGGTGTGCGCAGGGGTGTGGGTGAGCATGTCTGTCTGGGGAGCCCGCTGTGTCACCAACCGAGTCAGGTGGCCTGGATCCCGGCAAGACAGTGTCCAGGGGGGCGAGGAAGCAGGTGTCAGGTGGCTGCCAGCCCTGCGCTGCCAGCCCGGGGCTGGGGCGTCGCCCGGCACCTCCCGCGGGGGCCTGGGGAGCACCAGCCTCCCGCCCCCCGGGCTGGGACACGCCCACACCGGTCCCCCGGGGCGCTGATGACAGCCACACACAGCCTCCGCAGAGCCTGCGGCTGGCTTCTGTCATCCAGAGCGCGTCGGCGGCTCCTGCGGGTTAGGGCTTTGCTGCTGGCACGAGCTTGGCGGCGGCGGCGACAGCGGGGGGCCCGCGCCCACCTGCAGGTGATGACACTCTGGGCGGCGGGCCTGGGACACCGTGCAGGGTTGGCTCTTCACGGGTGCTTCTCGTTTTGGTTTCACAGTATTTCTTTCCTGGTGTACACCACCCCCGTGTCCTCCTCGTGGCCCCGCGTCTGCACCTGGCAAACTGGCCCTGGGCCCGTCCCTCCCTCCGCACTTGGCCCGGGGTTTGGACGGGAGGTCCCAGTGGAGCGGGTGGCCTGGCCCCAGGCGCGTGCGCAGTGCAGCCGAGCGGGCAGGCAGCGCCGCCCCCTGGTGGCCGCGCGCCTTACAGCCGCCAGGCGCCGAACTGCGGGGGGCGCGGGGGCGGGGAGCCACGCAGCCTGGTTTTGCTGCGGGAGCCGCGCTCTCCGGGCTCCTGGAGGCCCCACGCCGCCCTGCGCGCCCACCCCGCTGTTCCCCGAGGGAGTGGGCGTGCGTTCCTGCCCCGCCGCATCCTCCTCGCTGCGCCACGCTGCAGAAGACGAACGCACCGGGGGGTAGACGAGAAATACCCGAAATGGCAGCACAATGGCTGTTGTGCCGCACCGACTGGAGTTTACCTTCTTTTTAATTTTCAGACGCGGCCCCGGGGCTAAAGCCCTTTGTCCAAGGACCGCCCGTAGGGGGTGCGCGCGCATCCGGGCCCGCAGGGGGCGCGCGGGGAGGCGTGGGTCTCAGGGTCGTCCATCACTGTCGCATCCCCAGCGCTCGCGGGTGACACCCGCAGGGGGCGCTGCTGCGAGACGGTCTGCCCCGCCCCCCCACCGCCGGCCTCAGCAAGGGCCGGCTGTGCGACCCCAGCGCCCCCGTCTGTCCCCAGCCCACAAGGGGCAAAGCGGGGAGGGGAGGACCCCACGCTGCCCAGGCGGGCACCGGAGCTGGGGCTTGTCCCACAGGGACTGCTGCGGAGCTCAAGCTGCCCCTCCGCTATCCTGTCTCCGAAGCGCCCACCCAGGGTCCTGGGGCGTCGCCTCCTCCGAGGTGTTCAGTGTCAGCCCTGCCCCGCCATACCCGAGCCCATTCCTTCGGGAGACGAGCACAGACCTCAGGGCCCGCGGCGCCGGGGTCACAGAAGGGACAGGTCCTGCTTTGACTCCGCGAGCACTGGACCGGCTCCTTTGTTTACTTTAGGCGTCGGAGCGCCGGCCGCCCAATCGGATGACCTTGGAAGATAGCGTTTCCAGGAACTCAGGGGACGGCCTCATCCCCCTCTTTCACTTTTATGGTTCCCACAACAACTGCCAGTCTTCGGCTCCGCCAGGGCTGGCCAAGGCGCGCCGGTCTGGTGCCTTTCCCGAGCACCTCGGTTCTCAGCACGCGTGCGTCCTGGCCGCGGCTCCACCGGCCGGTCTGGCCTTCGCGGTGTGTGCGACCTTGAACCTTCCCCGGGGAAGGGAAGGCGCGGAACGGCATCAGGGTGTCGCGGGGCCTGTGCCTGGACGTTCACGCTGGAGACTCGCCGACACGTGGCCCTGAGTGCAGGCTTTGTGAACACAGGCCGGCGCCGAAGCCTTTAGAACAGGGGAAGGGTCACCCCGCACCTGTTCGCCAGCCTAGTAAAACGCCGCACGCCCGCGTGAAGAAACCGTCTTTCTTAAAACGACGGACGTCTCTCGTCGTTTTGGCGCACATGCCGTAAAATTCACCCAATCTAAATGTGCGCCCAGTGACTTTTTATACGTTCACACTGTCGTGCGGCCGTCGCCACGACCCCGTGTGGCGAGGTCACCCTCGCGTTTCCCCGCGGCCCCGCTCCTGGGTCTGCGCTCCGAGGAGCGGGGAACAGGTGTCCGCGCATCGCCCGCGAGTGTTCACGGCGCCGCCGCCCAGAGCCGCCAGAGGGCGCCGGCAGCCCGCCTGCCCGCCGGCCGGCCGGCGAGCGGAGCCACCCAAAGCCGCGGGTGCGCGCAGTGGAGTGCTGCTCCGCCCTGAAAAGGGCCCAGGGCGCGCGCTACGGCGAGCGAGAGCTCCAGACACACCGCGAGCAGGAGACGCTGGGCGCGAGGAGCGCGCGCTGTGGGGTGTGTTCACGTGACGCGTGCAGAACAGGCCGGCCTGGGGGGTGGGGGTGGCGGGGAGCGGGGGAGGGGAGGCGGGGAGCGACGGCCTCCTGGGGACAAGGGCTCCTTGCGCAGCGAGGCAAAGCCTCCGCAACGGCGCGAGGCACCCGTCACACGGCGCTGCGAGCGTGCCGTGCCGCCAGGCTGCCCACGCACAGCGGTGAAGGTGGTGGACTGCGTGGCGCGTGTCTGTCTCCACCGTAAAAACCGGAGGGCCATCCTCGGGAGGTGGCACCACGCAGTGCAAAGGCCCAGCCTGCAGGTGTGGGACGGTTCGACGGTCAGGCCACCCACCCTCCGTGGCCTCAGAGGCCGCCCGTCTGAGCTGAGGCTGGCTCCTCTCCCCGCACGCAGGCGGCCACCCGTCGCCCGCGCCCCGCAGGGCGGTCCCACCTGTGTCTGTCTCATCTCCTCTTCCAAGGGCCCCGCCCCGTGAGAGCAGGGCCCACCCCAGTGGCCTCACTCCCTCACTCGCCTCTTCAGAGACCTGTCTCCCAGCACCTGAGACTCTGCCCTGGGAATGTGGGGCGGGGGCACGGTCCACCCATAATGGCTATGGAGCAGTGGGGTGCCGGCTGTGAAGGGGGGGTGCGGGGCTGAGCCAGGACCCCGGAGAGGCCCCCCCTGCAGGGCCCGGGGCGCCCCATGATGGGCTGGGGCAGGGGTGCTGGGGCAGAGGAGGGGGGATGCTGCCCGCAGTGGGGGGCCTGACGGCTGGGCCGGGGCCTCACAGTCCCTCCAGGGTCCGCCCCTGCCCCCCAGCTTCTGCGGGCAGCCCCCAGGCCAGGGCGGACCTGCGAGGGTCTTCGGTCTTCACGGGGGCCCGCGCCAGCGCCGCACATGGGCGGGAGGGGAGGCCAAGATCCCTAGCAGCCGTTCGGAGAAGCCACAAAACGCCGCCCGCCCGCCCTCCCCTGTAAACAAGGGAACTGCCAGAACGGAGCCTCGCGCGCCCCGTCCTCCCTCCGAGGGCGATGACAGGCCCATCCGTCACTTTTATCTCCGCGCGGGGCCGGGCGGAGGGGGCCGCCTCTCCCCCGGCCGTGCACTTCTGTCCCCGGCGGCCACGGGGCCTGGCGCCCGCGGATGTTTACTCCAGCCCCATAATTAAAGAGGAATGTGGAGTGTGCCGCCCCATCCGCCCCGAGCGCTGGAGCAGGCCTGCGACCCTGCGACCCTGCCGCCCCCCCCCACGCCCGAGATCCCCTCAGGAAGGGGGGTGGGCACAGTTACAAATAACAAATTTGGAAATAACAGATCACTTCGGTTTGGGATCTGTGCAAGTTTCCTAGACTGTTTTTTTTGTTTGTTTGTTTTTTTTAATGAGGACTCTGGAAATCAACAGAGAGAGGTTAGCTGTTGTAACAGTTGGAGAAGGGCCATTGGAAACCAAACAGAGGCGAACGCGGGGACCAGGAGGACTGGCGGTCTGTGCCAGGATCCCTCCGGAAAGTGACCGGCACGTGAGCGCAGCCCCGCAGCCCCGCAGCCCCGCGGCCTCCCCCCGGAGCCCGGTCCCAGCGGCCCGGCCTCGTGCTTCTGCGTGGGAAGCACACAGCCGCCTGTCGCGTGCGCCGGCGCCCTGGCCTCATAGGCCTGCAGAAGCCCGGAAGGCTCTGCACCGGGTTTCCCTGCAAGGAAGCTGGGCCTGCCCCCCGGGTCACAGGGCTGGCGGGTCTGGGGCTCGCGTGGGAACCTGCCCCGCACGCCCGTGCCCAAGGTGGGGGGGAGGGGCAGGCACACGCTGAGGGGTCAGGATCCCCCAGGGCCGCCTCGCCCCCGGCGGCGCCGCAGTGCACTTGCGCGGACGAATCAATGCGCAGAGGAGGCGGCGGTGCGCACGAGGTCTGTCGCCGTCCTCCCAGGCCTCCTGGAGGCGAGAGGCGCACGTTCCACGTGGGGCTCCTCCTCCCGGACGGACGTGCCCTCTGAGCGCACGGGGCTCCCGGCCCAGCTTCCGCGCGGGGGGTGAGAGCAGCGCCCTCCCCGTGACCACAAACCACGAGCACACCTCTCGCTCGGCCGCGGGCTGGACGGCCAAGCGGAGCTGGTTTGTTTCTCCTCGTCCGTTTCTCGGGAGCAGACCCGCGTCGGGCAACCCGTTCGCCCAGTTCTTGTGTCTGGGTTGTCACCTGTGGCCACCAATACACCTGAAGGGGGACAAAAGACTTTCCAGGGAATTCCGGCCCCCGAACTGGGTCAGACCACCCGAGCTGGGCTCGGCCCTGCAGGGCATGCCGCCGGGCACCGCTCCCCGCCCCCCCAGGGCGTCCAAACCGAGGACAGCGGAGTGGGCTGGGAGTCTGTGTTCGGGTCTCTCTCCTGCTCCAGAGCTGCCGCCTGCTGTTCTGGAGGCGGAGCCTCGGCAGCGCCCGGCGCCCCTTCCAGGGGCAGGAGCAGAGTGGTGGGAGGTGAGGGTCATCCCCAGCGGTGCCACCCACGTGACCCGGCAGCGTGCTCCCGGGAGGATGGCCGGCGGCCACGGCCAGGGCCCAGTGGCCGTGGCT